AAGTGGCACAGTTGCTCCATGTCTTATTCACAAGGGTGAGCGTGGGCCCCAGGGACCTGTTAGGTCTTACTGTTTGCCTGACCTTGATCCTGAAGCAGATGTCCAGCAGAACACTTTGCGTGAACAAAGCCGAGTGTGGTCCAAAGTCTTAGCGTGGCTTAGAAAGCATGCTGACGATGCACCTGAAAAGCCTTCACTTGGTTGTAAAAGCCTGACGAAGTATGGCTATTCCCAACAGCACTATGGGGTAGCTGGCTGTCCCAAGTTTCGGAGTGGCATGCGAGTGCTTCACGTTTTGTGGAGTTATTTCAACACTGCAAATGGGACGGTTTCCAATATGAACAGAAGGTTGCAGATCCACCGACATGCGTTTGGAGGTGGGTAATTCTAGGTTTTTTGTTGCTAGGTGCCCTCTTGTCAGAGTGTACTGTTTTGTCCAGTTTTGTCTGCCCCCTGTTTCCAACACAGGGTGTACCGCCAGATGTGTCATTGCGTCACCATGACACGATAATTAATGGCTAGGTGCATGCGCATTCGGCCTGTCACATCCGTAGTATCATTCCATCTGTGTCTTGCTTGATCCATAGGATTTTTTTCAGCGAGCCCGATCTACAATTTCACTGTTGTAACGCAATATGCTGTGCAACATCGAAGCCGAACTAAGGTGTGCGAGAGCAAAGGTCCAAAAGTTCCATAATATATGGATATATATGGGATAATCATCCCAACTGACTAATATTTTTCACGAGGGGTTGAAACCACCAACCAGGATATGTCATGATTCATTCATGATATGTCATCATACCTCATCATCCGTCCCAGGCTGGAATGTTGCCACGTTTCTTGAGCAGCAAAAAGGTCTGGCCCGAACATGCTAGTGATGAGTGTTGCGCCCATTGGGAATCATGGCATGGCAAACACAAGGAGAATGCTTGTGACAAAGCCCTACATGACTCTCAGTGTCTATGAATGTCGATGGTGAATGATATTCTTAGGGGTTGGCCCTGTAGGTCATCAAGACGCTTGTCTCATGTTGTCTCCCTAGAAACATTTACAATTCTTGGATGGTCTGGGTTTTGGTTCCAAACAACAATTTCAACGTGACAGATTCATCGTGCTTTGATTTCCACAGATTGGCCATGATGATTTTGTGTAGTTTTGGGGTCCCCTTTGGTAAACTAACAGTTTGCTATTGAAAATGACCCCGTTCTAGTCGATTTACCTATTGAAAGCAGTGATTTTCCATGATTTTGTGTATTTTAGGGGTATGGGTCAAAACCTAAGAATCGAAAGACGCACATCAGAGCTACCCGTTGGCTTCCCAAGCTTCACCTATATCCAAATCTGGATTCTCCATGATTCTCCTGTCTGATGTGTCGCCTCATGGGCTCGTCCATTAGAAAATGTTGTGTGCCCCCAAATCAACTGGTTAATTGTTAATTGTTCTGTTAACCTCGGAATTGGATGTGAATTGGATATTTTGGGAGTACATCAGTACATATATACTCAATTTCACCCATAGTGTGTTTTTTTGTTGGTTGTATATCATATCTCACTTTTACATATCCCGTCATATCTCCTGTCATGTGCTTCACCTTTTAAACACCGCTGGAGCTGGGCGTTTTGCAGATGATGCCCACTGGCATGGTGTCGCTGATCGGGCTGATGGTTCCGGTCCTCGGCGGTGTGCGGCGCTGGATGAGGTCACCATTGTTGTGCATGGAATGTGAACAGTTTGGAGTGGTGAATTTGGACATGACATGATATGGCTATGGGTCAATACCTATTATTACCATATTTGGGGGAATAACCATCTATTCACCAGCTAATGTTCACATGGCGTTAATAAACCCCCCCGCAATAAAGTACGCCAACTCCCGGTTCACAATAATAAAACCCCCCCGTAATAAAGTACGCCAACTTTTTTTTCCCGTTTTTTTCCGTTTTTTCCCTTTAGTATTCGTTTTCAATTAGGCAATTCATTTGGGAATACATAGGTGTTTTTTTTTTTGAGGGAAAATTCCCTTATGTATTCGTTTTCAATTAGGCAATTCATTTGGGAATACATAGGTTATTTTTTTTTGGAGGGAAAGTTCCCTTATGTAATTTATGTATTCGTTTTCAATTAGGCAATTCATTTGGGAATACATAGGTGATTTTATTTTTTGGAGGGAAAGTTCCCTTATGTATTCGTTTTCAATTAGGCAATTCATTTGGGAATACATAGGTGTTTTTTTTTGAAAAGTTCTGGAGTGCAAAAAAATCAACAAGGCTCAAATGGTCGATTTCCTTACTAAACCCTTTCAAAAAATGCCAAAAAACAATCGCGCAAAGGGGGTAGCCTTGAAGTCCCCTGACATCAAAATAATAATGTATGTTTGCACACCCCTAAATAAAGTATTTGGATTTCAGGGTTCTAAAATTTTGGTGGTTAATTAAATTTGTTTCTCAATTCCTTTCCTAGTTGAACCCTTTCTCAAACCCTTTCTGAAGCCCTCAAGACTCTTTGAGCTGGAAGCAGTAAACTCCAAACTCCAAATCTTGCCTGAAAAGTTCTGGAGTGCAAAAAAATCAACAAGGCTCAAATGGTCGATTTCCTTACTAAACCCTTTCCTTACTAAACCCTTTCAAGAAAGTTCACTTTATGTATGCGTTTTCAATTAGGCAATTCATTTGTGAATACTAAAGTTCCAAGAAAGTTCACTTTATGTATTCGTTTTCAATTAGGCAATTCATTTGTGAATACTAAAGTTCCAAGAAAGTTCACTGTATGTATTCGTTTTCAATTAGGCAATTCATTTGGGAATACATAGGTGATTTTTTGTTTTTTTGGAAAGTTCCCTTTATGTAATCATCGTTTTCAATTAGGCAATTCATTTGGGAATACATAGGTTTTTTTTTTGGAAAGTTCCTTTTATGTAATCGTTTTCAATTAGGCAATTCATTTGGGAATACATACGTGTTTTTTTTTGGAAAGTTCCCTTATGTATGCGTTTTCAATTAGGCAATTCATTTGGGAATACATAGATGATTTTTTTTTTGGAAAGTTCCCGTATGTATTCGTTTTCAATTAGGCAATTCATTTGGGAATACATAGGTGATTTTTACGATAGTTGAATGTTTGGCCCTAACTTCATTCTGATGCTCTTAATGTTTGGGGGGGGTTATTAATACGATGTTGACATTATTTTAGGGTACCTAGGGTACCAGGGTTTTGACTCATAGCCATATGACATGGCCCACAACAAGTTCATTCATGTCCATTCTAATCCACCAAGAACTTGTGGTTGAATCCGCCTATTTGGAAAGATGACCATTGGCACAACATCCGCTGGTCATCCAACAAGAAGTTTGACGCATGCAGCGGCTTCGTCGCATGCCAAGGCCTTTGCGTACAACTGCATGCAGCTAAACAAATGGTGGGACCCGGAGGCTGGAACTGGTTGCTTGGACGAATCCCATCCCCATGACTTTTGCGGCAAAAAAAACATGAAGAAATGGTGATTTTTGTGCATGGTTTTAATATGGTTTTAATCATGTTTCCAAGAACAACATGGTAGACTTCTTGATTTCCAAAAAACATGACCAAACTTTCGGCAATCCAAAATGCAGTGGAACTGACCAGATACCCGGATTTTTGTTGAGTTGGTGATTTTGTTGTGTTCCATACATCCATTATTGAGGAATCTATACTGAACTGTTTTAGTTTTTGGGGACGGGTGAAGGATGGAGGAAGACATTCGAGAATGGTTGCAAACTTTACAGTAGCTATTTGTAGACTGAATATATTAGAAAAGCATGTGCTAGTATCATAGTTGTATGTGTGTAATGTATAGCACCCCCAAAAGAGATAGAACATTAGAATCGCGTCTTCACAATGTTTTATGGCATTTGTTTTCTTCACATTATACCACAAAAAAAATGTGTTTTTTCTATCTATTTTTGGGGTTGCGATATACACGCCACCAAAGATCAGCTCAACGGGTTGCGAAGTCCCCAGTTGAACACAGATCTGACGGACCTTCGCTACAGGAGCTGCCATTTCTCAAAGCCAAGTGAGAAGGCGAAGGCGCCGTCAGAGAAGAACATGTTGGAAAACTCGCTGGGAGAAACATGAGAATAGTGATGTTTATATATGTTTATTGATTTATAACTATATCTTGGGATAACTATAATTATCACATATTATCACCATATCTTGGGATTTGGATGTTATTTCTATCACAAGGTCCCCGAAGATTCTTCTTTTTTTTTGGCTTTTGGAGTTTTTCACAGAATTCCATGGCCCGCGGATGGCGCACCTGTTCGCCGCAGCAATTTGGCAGCATTGACACAGAATTTTCCACAGATGGGGGTTCAATGAAACTTGACCAAAGAGAAAGCATTTGCAGCCCAAGTGCACCGGAATACTGTGGTTTTTCCCCCGTAAAATCGCCCATCGGGACGGTCGTTTTGCCCGACTGAATGGGTTTTTGGCCCAGTCCTTTGCCAGCCGGGGATCGATGTTTCCGGCCCAGATATAGAATCAAGAACTTGTAAGACATGGATGTTCTTAGTCAAGGTTCGAATACAAACAGCCTTTGGTGACAATGTGTTTGGTCCTTGAAGCCGATGCCACGAAAAGTCTCAATAGCTGCATGGAGAAGGGCTGGAACAACCAATGATCGACAGGTGAACGGTGTAAGAAAGGCCAGAAAATCGAAACTAAATCAGAGAGACATGGAAAGTCAAAACCCATTTCGCCCACAGGTGGGAACATTGAAACCAAAACTTCAACCAAGTCCCTGATACTTTTATCACGGTTTCCGGTGAGCAGTAAACTAATCAATTATATTCAATTATCATTTTGAAAACGTAAATAATTAATTTCATCAAAAACTGATTTTGCATGTGCCATCTATATCATCTATACCACTTTCCCAGATGAGTTTTTAAAGATAATATATAACCAGTACTAACCAGTACTAACCAGTCACCAGTGACATCGAAAAATCCTCGCCATGGCGAGTGGCTTGGCTGGCAAGGTGCGTCGCAGCACTGAGTCGGATGAATTTGACCTCAGCGGCTATGACCAGGTGCCGCGTATAGCGCGGTGGTCAGCTATGGAATTGCCGAATTGGGTGGTCAGAACCATAGGATTCATCGGATTAAGCCATTTAATATGATAGCAGATATAGGATTAAGCCATTATATAACTATACAATATAGACCATTTAATATTTAATATGATAGCATAGGATTAAGCCATTAACTAATATTAACTATAGAAAGCATCATGATTTTATCCCATGTTTATGCGGATATCCATCGGATTATCCATCTATGACTATCCATTTAGGCCGCTATGATTTGGGGGCACCATTTGGATATAGCGACATCTTGATGCATGACCTCATTTCTAGAAGGCTTTAGATCCAAATAGGGGTACCCAATAGCTGGATGGTTTCTTTCATGGAAAATCCATCTATAAAATTGATGATTACAATGGGGGTACCCCCATAACTTAGGAAACCTTAAGATATCTGAACAATATGTTAAAACCCTTTCCGCAATTTCTAAGAACAAGTGGGACAAGAAAAAAGCACGGGACTGGTCCATTGTAGGGTCACATGGAATGGAGAGTTTTGGAGTTTGGGACTATCCGTTGAGGTCCTCCAAAAATGGCCGGGGAATCCCGGAAAATGAAGCTTTCAGTGGGAATTCATCATCATCGAACTGGCTGGGAGATGGTCCAGCCATGTGAGCAAACCAGAGGATAGGAGGAGTTTCAGATAGCCAAAATGTTTGACCAGGAATCAGTCGGGACTTTTCTGATTTGAACTGGAATTTCTTGCAGTTTAAAGCTGAATATGAATGGAACATCGGCAATCTTTATCCATTTATATATTGCCAAGATTTGCCAAGAGGAATGGAGAGGTTCGTTTTTTGTTGGCTAACTTGATATAACTTGATCTGGTTGGTGGTTTGGAACATGTTTTATTTTTCCATATATTGGGAATAATCATCATCCCAACTGACTTTCACTCCATCATTTTTCAGAGGGGTAGGGCTAAAAACCACCAACCAGTTGGGGTACTCCAATGATCCAATGGGGAGCCAAAAAACGACTTGACACCGATCCCGGCTTGATGTCGACACAATATTAATCATGTCAATTCTTAGAACTATATACCAAGGTAATTACATAGGGCAACAGCTTTTCGATGTTTTTGTTTCCTATTCTTTCCATATACCATCTGGTTATGACTAACATAGCCATGGAAAGATCCACCATTTGTAAGAACGGTAAACCATCTATTTCTATGGCATCAATGGGCCATCTATTCCATGGCAAACTGTTAGTCATAACCAGAGGATATATATACCCTACCCTTCGGTTGTTTTATGTGAGGCTCGTTGCAATGAGTTGGCCAAAGCCTGTTTCGGTGAGCCCTTTCCGCTGAAGGATCCGTGAACTCAGTGGGGGTTTCTGGGTGATTTTCCATGGCAATTTTAGATGACCAGAGGCTACCCGGCCTGGTAAACTAACACCAAAAACGATGGACAGATCCACGATCCAGCATGCTATTCATGGGAAAATTCGAGTTCACTAGATGGTGATTTTAACCATAGTTATGTAACAAGTTACCAGAGGGTACTAATACAAAATATTACAAAATGCTGATGTTCAAAAGCTTCACAGTTTATTTTTTTGTGACCTGAAGAAATGATTCTCCGGTTTGCTTCTGCTCCTTGCTGCTCCTTGGACGCGTTGCCCAATGGTTTCCCTTCGAACACGACAAACGATGCTGGGGTGGGGGATTACCAGTGGTTAGAAGTTGGTGATATACCTGCCACCTCCAATCCATATCCTCCGTGTTTGCTGTTGATATCCTAGGATCTCATGATTCGCCAACAACTGATGATTAATCCCAAGCCATCGGTAAGAGCCATCCAAGGTTTCCCCAATTTTGGGATATTTTTTTAATTTGGGAATGGGTCAACACCTAGTACTACCCTCTGGTAAACATACAAAAAGCCATTGAAAATGACCATTTATAGTGGATTTACCCATTAAAAATGGTGGATCTTTCCATAGCTATGTTAGTTTACCAGAGGGTACCATATTAACCTCCATTCACCAGCTATGTTAACCGGTACCATCCGGGTCGGCCAAGTGCTTCTTCGAATTCGCTCCCGGACACCACCCCAGGAGATGGTGAGAATTTCCTTCGTCGTGGGCGGTGGCAAGTTGGTGCGACAGAGACTCTGCCTGGGATGAGGTGCTACCATTTGGTATTTTCATCGAAACACATGGTAGAATACCACAAACAAATGCCTGAGATGATCACTTGAAATGGGATTTCCATCGAAAAAAACAGCATTTCTTTGTGGTATACCGCTTTTTTCTCTTCATTTTTCTCATAAAAGGTTCAGACACATGGCCTCAAACTCAGGGAATGTTGGGCTTTTATTTGGTCATTTTTGTCCCATTCCCATGGAGGACATCTTTGAAATCCCATACAAGGTGGTGCCCCATAGTTAGCTAAGTTGGTTTATAACTCCAATAACTATGGTTTATGGTAGATATATCTATAGTTAATGGGGTTTATAAACCAACTTATAACTGGAGGAGCACCACCTTGTATGATTGGCTGGTTAAACCCCCATGGTGACTGGTGACTGGTTCAACCCGCCGAAGTCTTGGAGCGCAGTTAGCGCCCTTGCGCGGCTCAGGAAATACTCAGATGATTTGCCCAAGTTTATGGTGCCTCGGCCAACTGCTCCATGGATGTTATTAATGATGTATCCCATAGGATCCATGTATGGTATATATATACTAACATTGGGGGTATATTGATGGTAAATGTTACCATATATGGCATACATGGATCCTATGGGTATGTACCTACAAAAAATATAAAACCAACAAATATAAAACAAAGGGTGATTCTTGGGATGATGGTAAATGTATATTCCACACATGGAGTATATGGGCAGGACAACCTGTTGACTTGCCGCTATGGTAGATGTTTCCTAGTCTGTTTCCACATATATCTTTCATGTCCAGCTCCCATTTCCTCGGCAGCTACTGTTCCTGACGGGCTCAATGATGACAACTCCCCCAGATAAGAGGCCCAGGAGGCCAGGAGGGTTATTTTTGTTGATGATGCCAATGCCATCTAATTAACAATTCAAAGTATCCAACATAGTCCAATCTTTAGCTACAACATCTACAAACCAACTACAGCCTATCTATAACATTCTATAACTATAGGCTTTACCCTCCTGTAATCATTCAGATGGCTTGTGGGAAAGCATGAATCGTGCCATGATGTTCCCAGCTCTTCCATTTTCGGGATTGCCTTCCTGTTGCCACGTTTGATGGCACCGGATGGTATGGTACATATACTGGTTGGTGGTTTGGAACATGAATTTTATGACTTTCCATATCTTGGGAATGTCATCATCCCAACTGACGAACTCATATTTTTCAGAGGGGTAGGGATACCACCAACCAGTATGGTATATATAAAACTAGTTAGTAGCAATGGGGTATGTACACCAACAGACAGAACTGAGGGGGCCAGAAGGTGGTACCCGCAGTTAATTATGTCTGTTGTTTTTTTTGCCCGCATGAAGTAGTTCGATATATCTACCAGAAACATCCATAAACCAGAGTTAATTCACCTAGTTATGATGTTCACCAACTTCGCGATCGAAAAAACGGGGCCAGCACCTTGCACCGAAGGTCAATGCCCTGGGAGCCATCGGATTCCAGGAGGACGAGCCACTGTCCATCATGGACATCTGGACATCGGAAATTTCCGCACTCAATGAGCATTTGAAATGGAAAGATCATGGGAAATCCCCTAGACATGGGCATTTTAAATCATGTTAATGGGAAAAACATCTACAAATCGGGATTTGGGAACATCGTGGTTAGAATTGGCTCAACCCACCCATTTCCGTTTCGATTTTCCTTTATTGGGAACACCATCTCTAATGGAGAATTCTTGCGCATCTCAGTTCCTATTTGCGCCATGGTCAAAGGTTGGATGAGATTAACCCTCTTCTTGGAGGATGGTCATGATGGTGGGATGACCATATAGCCCACATATTCTGTTTTGACTACACATCTGTGATGGGGGACATTATGCTGCTTTTGATGGTTCTCCGAACTAAGCATTGTCAATAAGAGTTTAACAAAGAGGCTTTGATAAACCTAATATATAGTGGAAAACATATAGATGGGTCTTGACGCCCCTTGGAACTTGGAGTTTTTTCAGAAGTTTATATGGGTTCCAGCATTGTAGCTGGCAACCATAGAACCCTCAGATATCAATCACCACCTTCAAAAGGTAAAGAAACACGTGGTAAAGCACATAACCATCCCAACCATTTAAGGGGTCATTCTACATCATCCCAAACCCAATATATATATATATATATGTATTTATATGTATATATATATATATATGTATGTATATATATATATATGTATAAATTATATATATGTATATGTATATGTATAATAAACCTAGACCTACAATGACATACATTTCCAGCAGTCAGCCATGTTGGTTTACCCGAGGCTATTTCGGTAACCACACCATGAACCAGACTCCGGGATACGTTTTGACCAGAAAGTCAAGGCCTTTTCCACCCCCCAAAATTAAGAATCATGATCCTAGAGAGACCTGGTTGGTGGTTTCAAACATTTTTTATTTTCCAGAATATATGGGATAATCCTTCCCATTGACGAACTCATATTTTTCAAGATGGTTAAAACCACCCCAGAGACAGACTTACAGTAATTCCCAGAAAGAAAGTCAAATCCTGTATTGAATAGACTTCACAAAGATTAAAGTTAAAATCCGGATTGGTTTTGGTGGGACAATCTACAGGAAGCTGTATTCTTCCCCCAAAATAGTCTGCATATGTCTGCCGATTTTCCCACCCAGATTTCTATTTTTTTTTGTGAGGGGGCTCCCATATGGGTGTATCTGGAATTATGGAAAACAAAAACCAAGAACGGCTATTTGGGGGTTTCCAAAAATAGGGCTACCCCAAATCATCCAAGTCAGAAACAACCATGACTTAGTATTGAAACCAAAAAAACATCTGTGACAAAAGGGGACTTCAGACACCCTTATATATCCCATTATACCAGCATTCTATCAGCATTATATCACCTTTATATTCCCATATTTGTTAGTGAGAGTCAAATCCCATTAAATCTTATTCTATCACCATGATATTCACATATTTGCCAGTTAAATCCCATTAAATCTCATGATAGTCCATTATATCCCTTGATATATCCCACAATAAATCCCCATTCTCCCATGATATCCTTTGTTTTTGGATGATGTTCCTTTAACATATCCCTTACCCTCGGGTAAACTAACGTAACTATGGAAAATCACCATTTTTAACTATAAATGGCCATTTTCAACAGCTATGTTAGTTCACCAGAGGGTAAATCCCATGAAATCTTCCCATTTTTTTGCTGAAAACAGAGCTTTTCTCAAACACCAGGACAATAGCGCCACCGTGGAGGCGGGAAGTGCCGGAAAGTTCAAGTATCATCACGTGACCTGGCGGGCCTGTCGAAACTACTGGGGACCGTGGGGTTTTCCTATAACTGGGTGGTGGTTTCAAACATGATAAAAATCCTTCCCATTGACGAACTCCATCATTTTTCAAGATGGTTAAAATCACCAACCAGATGATGTTGATAGGAAGATTTCATGGGATTTAACTAGCAAATATATGGGAATGTAATGGTGATACAATGGAATATAACTGGATGAATCATAACGACCTCACTGCGACCGAACCCTGGATTAGAGGTTAATAAGAGGAATCATCCCAGAACAGCCTTATTTCAGATGAGTGAATTATTTAATTTACCCAGATGTGTGCAGATGTTTTTTTTTTGTGTTTTTTTTTTCATAGTAAAGTGTGAAAGTACCGGAGGGTATATCTGGAGGGATGGAAGTTGTTTTATGTTTTTTTGGTTTCATGGAATCTAAATTAGATCGATATGATACGATCTAATGGGATTTATATTAGGATATTACTTATAATTGAATCTAAATTAGATCGATTCTACAATCTAATGGGATTTAATGGTATTAAATGGAATTTAAATGGAACTAAGTTGAATTTAACAGGGATATACCAAGCAATAATGGGGGTGGAATGGGATTCTCTTCAATAGGTCCGATAGTAAATCATCATACTCAATGGGCCAAGTTCCAGTTCGCAAACTGAAAAAAGACCGGAGGTTCAGCATTTACAACAGGGGACTGCGGACTGTGTTTTTATCGATCCAACAATGTGGGCCTAGAACGCGGGAAACCTTTGGATGTTCTGAGTCGGTGATGGAAATCAGCATCTACCAATGATTTTCGATTTTTGTTTTTTTTTTGAAATCCTCTTCTATCTTTTTGGGGCGACGTTCGATCATGCAATCAGCTAGTTGTTCCTTAAGCTATGACTCGTGTTCCGGGTATTTTTAAGGGTGAAATCTGATGATTCAGCCGTGGGAGATGGTGAAAGTGAAGTGCCCGCGGCCCGAGGATACGAACAAGAACCTGAAGTTTGTGCATGTCTTTCCAAAGATTGCTGAGGTGAGCGCAGGAGTGGTTTTTGGCGATCAGGTTTTTACGCCATCAGAACACATTCATAAATTGGACAACCCCGAGTTGCATATATGAGATACAAACGACTAAACGTAAATAAAGCAATGATAAACCACCAATATTTTCATGGTTGCGGTACAACTGGGGATGGTCTACTGTTGCTGTACTGACCACTTACATCCAACCGGTAAACGAATCATACACTTCCACTTCGAGATGTTCGCAGGTTTTGAGTCCTTTCTGGTAAACTTATGGATCTTTATGGTTTTGGGTTTACCACTGGCTTTAATTTATTGGTACACTATAACTAGACTATAACTTGGGTTTGGATCACAGTCTCGACACTCTCAGAAGGTGGAGCTGTTAGCCGTGGATCCAAGTACCATTTGAGGGAGTACTTGGGGTATGATTAGGAGGTGTCAAGTGTTTTTGAGAAGGAACTACTTGGATCCATAGGGTGTATGACATATGACATATACATGTATTTATATATATACATATACCATTCGGTTATTTAACGTTCGCCATGGAAATCCCTCATAAATGGAGGTTTCTAGCTGGGAAAATCATCTATTTCTATGGGCCATCTATACAATGGCTATGTTAGTCATAACCAGAGGGTACACATAGCAACCCCCATTGGGGTCGATTCCCGAAAATCCTTCCACCTGGGGAGAACATCACGATAACTACCATGCTGGGTTCACGCTTTTCAGCATCTTGTTGGGGGTTGTTATACATACATACATATATATATATATAAATACATATATATATAAACTATATATATATATACATAATATAATGCTGTTGTAGTAGATGGATGTATGTATATATATATATATTGGGATCTTTTTTGGGTTGCTATAGTATGTCAGGTGGTAAACCCTAAACCATCCTACTAACCAACCATTTGGGGGTCATTTCCCAACCATTGAAGGTATATCATATATTGGAATATGCATATGAACACATACAAGTTACATATTTTCGACCTTGCCTCCTCCCACTAACCAGTTGAACAATGGCCTTTCACACACATATATATCCTCTGGTAAATTAACATAGCTATCAAAATCACTATCTTTAATAGGGAAATCAACTATTTCTATGGCCATTTTCAATAGCTGTGTAACAAATTACCAGAGGGATCCAGAGGGTATATCCCATTAATATCCCATTGAATCACTGTAAAGTTCCATTCAATCATTATAAATCCCATTATTATATTAGTTTACCAGAGAGTAACATATTTATGTAAACATCAGCTACATCACTGCGCCAGGCGCCCGCACCCGAGCAGCAAGCTGATGAGGGCCTGGCGGGCCCCCGTGTGTTGAAGACACCGGAGGAGCTGCTGCTGGAGACGCTTGGGAGATGAAGGGCTGGGATGCTTGGAATGCCGTGGATCAATAGCTATTGATACTGCAAACTAACATAACTATGGAACATCACCACTTTTAATGGGAAAACTCACTATAAATGGCCATTTTCAATAGCTATGTTAGTTTACCAGAGGGTATTGATACTGTAGAATTTGTTGATGAACATCCAGAAGCAGCTATTTTGATGTGAACAATAGGAGTACATTGTTTCGACGGTTAGATCTCTTCCCAGCAGGATTAAACCATTTTTTTTCGGGTATTTGACATAGCTCTAGAAGCCATGGCCCATTTACATAGTTCGGTGATTTATGAAGAGAACTACCCTCTGGTAATTTGTTACATAGCTATGGAAAATGGCCATTTATAGTTGATTTACCTCTTGAAAATGGTGATTTTCCATAACTATATGTTAAATTACCAGAGGGTACCTGTCAAACATGGTGATTTTCCAGTTCGCAAAGCGTTTTTCATCACCAGAGGGTCACCAGATTTGGATTGAACCGCCGGCAGCGTTGGGATGGCGTTGCGAGCCAAAAAATCACGATGAGACTGGGAGTTGACCAATGAAAACGGGGATTGAACCAGCTAAACCCAACCAGAACTGGACTTAAGCAACAAACAGTTGGATTTTTTTTAAAGATGTACCCTCTGGTAAATTAACATAGCTATGGAAAATCACCATCTATAGTAGGTAAATCCACTATTTCTATGGTCATTTTCAATAGCTATGTAACAAATTACCAGAGGGTATTTGTCACCAACAGAGACCACATTTTGATATATCCATTCCTCATACGGTATGCCGAGCACACAGGCAGTCTCGCGAAAGGTGGTGATGACGAGCGATGTGGAACCCCCATGGCTTCCCTAGGAGATCTAGAAATGGTGGGTTAAACCCACATCTAAACGTTCACAGGAGTGTACCCGGCCTGGTAAACATACAAAAAGCTATTGAACATGGCCCAGTCGAAATAGTTGATTTACCCATGAAAATTTGTGATTTTCCATAGTTATGTAAACGTTTACCAGAGGGTATACATCCACATTTTTACTCTTCTGGACTGAGGAGTGAAGAAGCAGATTTCACTCGCTTCCTGCAGACGCACCTGGCGCCTTGATGCCGAGAAATTGCCAATTTCACCAGAATTGGGTGGAAAGGTGGCTCCAAAACTTACAGGTTTATTATCAGCCCCAACCTTGGATTGGTCGTTTAATTCTTTAGTGAATTTTTAAGCTATCAATGGAAAATACCATTAAAAAAAGCCAAAACTAGCAAACTATGCCTTTCTTTAATGCCAAAGATAAACCATGTTATTGGGTTTACCATGGTTTACCACATTTGCATACTGTAGATATCGTTGAACTCGCGTCTAGCGGCTCGCAAGATGGGTGTGTCTGCAAATAGGGTACATCACTGGCATGGCCATGTTCATTGGGACATCATGATAACATATGATAACCCATTGCTGGTTGGTGGTTTCAAACATGGCTTTGACTTTCCATTTCATATATGATATATATATATATGTATGATATATATATATATGTATAATATATATATATGGGATGTCATCCGAAATCCATTGACGAACTCAAAATTTCAAGATGGTTATTGCACCACCAACCAGATTGGAACTGGGCATACCCCTATTTTCAGACAAACCTGTATAATATATAGGCATTTCCTGAAATGGGGGTATCCCTAGTCATCATCCATTCTAAGGGGATTTTCCATGAAATAAACTATCCAGCTATTGGTGTATCCCCATTTCTGGACCCCCCCCGTGTGAGTAGAAACAACGCATAAAAGCCTGACCGAAATCTGCACGAAATCCTCTGAAATCCAACTTTTCTTGCCGATCCCGATCCCATCTTACCCATCAACTGACGCCATTTGCATAGCCATTGTGGTCACATTGGCTGTAAAATGGGATGACCATAACACATCATAACACCATATATATATATATACAGTATATATATATATGCACATGTATTCTAGTTGTTATGTCCCATTCTTTTCCCATTATTCGTTGAGTCCCATATATCCCATATATTCCCAGTTTAGGCCATGAAAAACTTGGCACGTAACCAGCTGGCATTCCTGGTAGCTGCAGGTGACCTATGCACAGAAGCGAAAAGCCTTGGAACTTCTGAAGCAGCGCATCGCGGTGTTGGAGGAGATGGAAATGGTTAGATTTTGTCATGATCTAAAGATAGATGTGATAGATTTTAGATCATGGCATAAATCTAACCATCTATCTAATACCATACTTGTTTTGATAGATATGGTTTGATAGATAATCATGATTTTGTTAGATTTTGTGGATTATCTATCAAATCATATCTATATTTAGATGATGATGGAGATGGTTTGAAAATCTAGATTTTGTCATGATCTGTCTAGATGTTATAGCAACCCACAAAAAGATAGAAAAGGAATTCATCATTACTACTGTAGTGGGATTTAAGGTTTCTATCTGTTTGGGGTGTTGCTATACTGTAATTATATAATATTATATAATGTTTACTGTTGTATGTGTATATAATACATACCAGATGCTCCATGTACGGTATATTTACCTACAACAATGTGTGATTTTCGGGGTAAATGTTGATACATATTCCAGTACCATGGAGCATATGGGTATTTTTTTGTGATCCAGAAGAGGCTGAAAAGAAATTTGTATCATTATGTATCACTATTTCAATGGGACTTTATAATTACTTTTCCATCTTTTTTGGTGGTTGCTATATCATAGTTATTGTTAATTAGATATGGTATGATATGGTATATCATCGAACACACTTCTTGGATCTTATGTAGTATTTAATCAACAATATTCTGTATGGAATGTAATGAAAAGAACTGTAATTTAATGTACTGTATTGTACCGTAATGTACTGCAATGTACTGTACTGTATTGTACTGTAATGTATTTAATGCAATGTAAATGTAATGTAATTTAAATGTAAATGTAAAAATCCCAACTTACAGTGATTTACAGTGATTTAATGTGGATAAAACAATAATAAACCACCCATGACTGGGAATGGTAACCATACAACCTGTTTATGGTGACGACTGGGGGATGGTTTATGGCATTGTTTATGGCATTGTTTTACCAACATTATTACCCATTACTAACCATTGTTGCCCATTATGAACCATTATTACCCATTACTAACCATTATTAACAATTAAATAGAATATTTTACCCAGTTACCAAAAGTACAGTAGAAGATCAATGAACCATTAGTAACAACCAGTGTTAATTCAATTATCAACCATTATCAACAAGAACTACCCACGATCTGAACCATAGATGGACTGTTCAACCATTCATCGACCATATCTCAACCATAGCAGATCAATACAGAAACCATAGATTAAGCATAGATTAACCATAGATGAACCATATCTCAACCATAGATAAAACCTATTTCCTGCATTTTATTACCCATTATTAACAATGATCAACCATTATCAACAAGAATTAGCCACATGAAATGGTTATTTTCAATCGTTTTTTGATGTTTTTTGGTATGTCTTCCGCAGGAGATCGAGCTGAAGCTCTCGCGGCTGGAACGCCTCAGTGATGAGGAGCAACAACTCTTCGAAGGCATCGGCTCGGAGGCCCGGGAGTTCGCCCAGGGGAAACCATGGGAACTGGAAGGAAACTCGAAGGAAACCCCTGGGAACCCATGGAGAAACCGTAGGTTTTTTGTTGGGAAACACGGTCAAACAATGTCAAACACACCATTCTGAACCGAGAGGATTTCATGAGATGTTCCGATAGGATGAAGCAATCAAATGATGGGAGATATAGAAGCCAGTGATATATAATCAATGATTTATAGCCAACGGTTTGTCCGGAAATGGTGTATGCCCCAAAATGGCACTTAAAAAAAGGGACAATTAGGTGTTAAACGATGGGATTTGGGGTACAGTAAATTCAGACAAACCGATGTGTGTTTTTCCGAAGGGAATTCAGCAACCAGTAACCAGATATCCAGTAAGATACATCTCCAATACATGGATTTTACCATGGATTTTGTCTGAAAATGAAGGATGCCCCAAAATCCAATGGTGTATGGGTGCATAATAATGTTCCCTAATTAGTAACTTAATTAGCCATTTTTGATGGGAACACACACACACATATATATATATATATACACCATCTAATGCATGTAATTTATTTCCATGAAGATTTCAGATATTTCAGCATCGATGTGAATGGGGTTTGAAAATGCGGGATTTAACCAATTAAGCCCCAGTCATGGAGGTCCTCCAGAATGAACAAACTATGATCTGGCTGAATCATAATGGTAAACCGAACTAAATAAACCATCCCATAGACTCATAGACGAACCACTGGCTAAATTTTACATCGTCTCAAATAGGGCTAGACCCAATTCAATGATGAATCAACATGTAGAATGTAGAATTTAGCCAGTGTTGAGTCCCATTCCCCTATTCCCATCCATTCCCTACTAAGCACCAGTAAGACTTTAGGTAGTTGTATTCAACACAGATTTCTAAGCATCCGAACGGCCATGTACCTGTTGGAAGAACCATCATCCCAACTGACGAAGTCATATTTTTCAGAGGGGTAGGTATACCACCAACCAGATATCTATGATTGGTTCAATACCACCCGTTTTTTTTTTCAGTTTGGAAGATGATTTGGTTTGGAAATGACAATCTTTGGGTTGCCATCTTTGAGTTTTTGGGGACCCGGTGCGCAAGAAGTAGTGGAGATACCTTTGGGAAGGGCCCCATTATGCCTGGTTGGTGTTTTCAAGCCCTGTTTCCGATAACTATTCAAATGGTATGATCATGTATGATCCATATTGATCGCTTTGAACACCCTCCAGTAAATGATATAGTTCATGGAAAAATCCACCATTGATCAGTTTCATGTGGATTCCCCATGTTTTTTTTCCTTGTTATGTTTGAGATCTGCTATACAACGCCACGCAGGACCTACGGCAAAAGGTGAAGCAGGTGAATCTGGAGCTGCAAGCGATGGTGGAAGCGAATCGTCTCAGCAGTTCCTTGGGTCCATCCCCAAATGGCGGAACTTTTTCAGGTCGAGGTTGGTGAAGACACAGAGTATCACATCACCATTATTGGGGAATATTCAACCAGAGTCTAAGGAAACTAATAGTCATAATGGATTTGGTTATAAAGTCTAATAGTTGATGAATTGTAATTCAGCCAGACTAATAATTACATCAATGGCCATATGATCGGAGTTATCTTCCAGTTCGTGAAGTATTACAATTCAGCCAGATGGTATCATTCCACAGATGAGCAGTCTGGTAAAGCCCGGGTTGGTTTGATGTTTAGTTGGGGGATCATACAAACCAATTGACTGGCGATTGTCACAATTTTCATTGGGGGAATCCCCAGCAACCAACCAGGTCTGTGACATGTGCAGATGTTGTTCCAACGATTCCAACAGCAGATACATGCGTGATTTTTCATCTGCTCCATCTAGCCATCTTACTGTAAGTGGCATACAATAGATATCATTAGATATCAATAGAATATGTAATATGTATTACAATGACTATGGATCAATATACTATGTTAGATCCATAGAATATCCATATCAATATCATAGAAACTGTGTGACAATGTCTATGACTGACTATGGATCTATGCCAAAAAGCACTTAGCACTGCGCTCGCGCAGTCAGGTGCTGAAAAGAGCGACTGCCTCGCACTTTGGCCCGATCCGGTGAATCATCGATTTCGGAGGATGGAATTACCCTCTAGTAATTTAACATAGCTATTGAAAATGGCCATTTTTAATGGAAAAATCCACTATAAACATACAAAAAGCTATTGAAAATGGCCATTTATAGTTGATTTACCCATTAATAGCATGGTGATTTTCCACAGTTATGTGAAAGTTGACCAGAGGGTAGAAGGAATGGCATTTGACCAACCCAAAGTGCGGATAGAACTAACATGAACTAACAAAGATGTGAATTGCTCGGTGAAATCCTTACTTGTCAAAGTCAATGGTTGTATCAACCACACATAGGTGTCATATGGTGTAATATCCTCTGGTAGACTATAGCTATTGAAGCCATGGCCCAGAAATAGTTCAAGTTGATTTAACCAATTTTGAATGGTGATTTTCCATAGTTAATGGTGATTTTCCATAGTTAATGGTGATTTTCCATAGTCCTCCATAGTAAGCTCTAACAGTTTACCAGAGGCTATCGTGAAAAAAAGCTCAGGAAGAGTTGGAGTCGAAAATGGCTCAAGTGCAAGAGGAGATCGCCAAGGCCGAGGTGTGCCACTTGGGCCACTGGTTTTTCGTCTCTTTTTTCAAAAATCTTGTTTGAGGACATGTTTCAGATCTTGTTGGGGGGTCTTGAGTTGTTTTGGGTGATTTCTATTCCTACGGCTCCACGCAGCCTCCGAGACTTGGGGCAGCTTTGGGGGTTTAAACACCCTGAGGAAACCGACCGGGAAGCTGCAAGATGTGTAGCAATTCTCAACGGGAAGAGGAAGGAAGCCTATCACATCTCACATCAATTTCAGTGTAGATTTCACTGAAGATGTGTGCTTGCTTGGGCACTGGTTCACAAGTGAAGCAATCCATGCGGTAGAACCACAATGGCCAGGTCATCGGTTGTAGGGCCTTATGTATACCCTATGGTTTTGACTAACATAGCCATGGTATAGATGGTCCATAGAAATAGATGGTTTACCTATTAAAAATGGTGATTTTCCATGGCAAACTGTTAGTCATAACCATGGCTATGTTAAATAACCAGATGGTAAGAGTTCTATGACGGTGCGGAATCCAAGGCAACTCGTGTTGACATATTAAACAACACGTTTTTCGTGGGTGCAAGGCTGAAGGAAAGGCCAAGAAAGTACAGGAGGGGATTGCGGAGAGGGGCTGTGAAACGTTCTGAATGTGGATGTATGTGGTCTGGTTGGTGGTAGTCTCTGGTAAACTAACATAACTATGGAAAGATCCACCATTTTGAATGGGTAAATCAACTATTTCTGCCATTTTCAAAAGCTTTTTGTATGTTTACCAGAGGGTAAAGCCAGGAAGAAACCCCAGTGACCAACCATGGTTTGGGGATCTGTAATGATCTCACCATATCTCACCACACCCCCTCAATTGGGGAAGTTTATCGTTTATTGGCATTGGGTATACCGTGTTAGTGTGATATGCTATCCGGTGGTTAGGAGGGGGCTAAGGAGCTCTGGGTATTCATATTTCTTAGTAGATGGGGAGCTGAACGATCTGAACGAGTTTCTCAATTGCATGATAGTATGATGCAACCTCAACCTTCGAAAGTATGGTGTAGATGTGATGATATAATTATATATAGTAATTATATATATTATATAATTATAAATATACATAATCATGCCATTAAATGAAACATTACGATCATATAAGATATAATAACCAAAAAAAACACTGTAGCGAAAATCCCTTCCCCCTATATACTAAACAGCCCGCGGAAACCATTGTTGAGTCGGGAATTTACAGATATTTGGCACCACAAAAAATGGGAGTCTTAAAAAAAAACCGGGGGATAGGATTGTCCCTATAAGATCCTATAAATAGTGGATGTTCCCATGATTTTCCCCATGTTTTTCCCGTTTCAATGGCAGTTTTCCCATGTTTTTCCCGTTGCAATGGCCAGCCATAGGCCCTGGCGAAGCCGTTGGAAGTGTTAAAAAGTACCCACCTGCAGGTGAAGGCGGCAGATCCAGTGGCCTGCTCCAAGGAATCGGTTCCGTCATGGCTGATATGATATGATATGGTAGATGTAATGGTGATATAAGCCATCCCCATATCGTATATATATAATTATATATATATATGTATATCATGGTGATATAATGATTTTCTCAATTATAATTAAGCCCCATATCATGTTGATATAATGATTATGGTGATATTATATCACCATTATATCACCATGATATCATAGCACCATGATCATTATCACCATGATATGGGTCAATGGTTGTAAGCCACCCCCATATCATATCTGGTTGGTGGTTTGGAACATGGCTTTTATGACTGTCCATATATTGAGAATGTCATCATCCCAACTGACTTTCATATTTTTCAGAGGGGTTGAAACCACCAACCAGATATATAAATACATACATATATATATATATATCATGGTGATATAAGGATTATAATGGTGATAGATTGGTGATGTAATGGTTATAGAATGGGACTGGTGATAGAATGGGGATGTAATGAACATATAGAGGCGATGGTATCATGGGGTATAATTATAACGCATGAAAACATGTGAAAACTGGTGAACCAATGAATATAATTTAATGGTTTAATGTAGAATATCATGGGAATATAGTGGTGGTACGATGAGGACGTAATCATGGTGATATCGTGGTGATACGATGGGATAAACGGAATATCATGGATTATCGTGAAATGCATGAGATACAATAATGCAGAACTGATTGCACCCTCGGGTAATTTAATCGTAGAAAATCACCTTTTTGACTGGTAAATCATTTGTAAATGGCCATCATATTCCATAGTGTTTTTTTTTTTAATGCCAGACGGACCCTAATTGGGCCATTTTTGTCGGCCGAACATCTGGGGATTTGACAGTGGTGGGATTGTGTTGTTTTGCAAGACATTGGGAGTTACATGTGATTTAAGCAGCATGAAATAAGAGGACCTAGATAAAGTGAAGGAGGATTCATAGAGTCTATTGGCTATTTTTTACGATAAATTGGTTCTCGGGATAGTATAAATTGATATAAATTGGAGATAAACGATCAAAACATGATTCAATGATAAGACCATTTAGGTAGGAAACAAATTGTCTTCCTCATCAACAGGGCTATTCTTGCCGGATTGGTGATCTGAAAATGGAGGATGAACCCCGGAGATTATGCCCTTTTTTGGGTGGGAAGTTATCATTACCCATTGGATTTAGGGCTTATTTTCAGACAGACATATTCGTTTCTCTTGTTTGAGTGGTTTGTCACTACTTGTAGGACTGAAAAAGACTCGCATGATGGACTGTGATTCTTGTTTTTTAGGATATTCAATCTCCACAAGCCATGTGTTTTCAAGTTGTTTCATGTCGCACCAAAGATATTTAGCCGTATATTTGTTGGTCAAATGTCCATGGATCTCCTCCGAGGTCAGCCTGCCTCCGCTGAAGAATGGGGACAAGATCCGACAACTTCGACAAAAGTTAGGGGAACTGGAGAGGTTGGAGAAGGCGCGCACTTCGCAGTGTTGGGGTGGTGTGGTATGAAACAATCCATGGTTGATTCTGGTTGAAATCTATTGATTGATTCGTTGGGACTTCTACTAGCTAATTTATTGAAGATTACCCTACCAATTGTTTTTTGGGGATTATGAACTCACCCATAGTAGGGGTATGTTTTTCATGACTACTTGGTTTTGATGACCATCATTTTTTGGACTCTCTGATTTTTGTCTGGTGATTATGGAGATCACCCAAACGGGATCCGGAAGATCCCGCAAACGGGTGTTCGTTTTAGGACCATTCCCAATTTGACTGAAGTTCTATTGAAAATGGCCATTTATAATGAGTTTTCCCATCAAACATTGTGATTTTCCATAGTTATAGGTAAGTTCTACTCTGGTGAGCTTTGAGTTTTGGAATCAGACCCAACTTGGAGTTTTTTAGCTGTTTGGTTTGTGAAGCCTGCCATGGTTGCTCACTGTCAAGCTTCAGACATGAATACGTTCCTATGAATTTGGGAGTGGATCTAGGTAGGGACCTGATGCCCACTATCAGTCACTATCATCACTCATCACACTATCAGTATAATCACTAGTATCATCACTACTCTCATCATCAGTTGGGTGGCTCTAGAAGGTGCTTATCGGGCGCTCGAAAAAAGCCTGATTATTTCTGGCTGTTCAAGACATCAGTAAATTCAATCATGTTTCTCCATGACCTTCCAATGATAAGGCCTTATTGAGGGGTTATCATCACGGTGAAGCAACAAATCGCTGCGTGTATTGGACCCTTTGGACCCTTACCCTGCTGCCCCTGATGCTGCTGAAAGGCTACCAAGACAAAAGGCTGTTGGGCAGGGGATTCAGCAGGGCTCGGACTTTGGTCATCAATAGCTTAATCCAAAGGTGTGGTAGGGCACCAGCAAAATGCCCAAACATAGTGTGCTGATACAGAAATAAAACCACCATTTTCGTTTTTTTGTATTGAAACATGTTGAAACCATGCATTGCGCAGGACACGGCTTTTTCCGTGCGCAGGACACGCATCCATTGATGAGCTGAAGAGGCGCTTTTGGGATGATGATCTTCACTGACGAATATGCTTTGAAAGGGCTTGGTTTCCAATCACTTGAAATCATATATATATATATATATTAATATATATATATATACAAATGTTATCATATATAGATAATGCTATCATATATTCAGAATTATTTATTACATATATATATAATATATATATATATGTAATGTTAATAATTAGTATATCAATTACTCACCTTTCTTGGATGATTACGCACTTGAAGTTCCCCTTGAAATCATCGCAGCCGCTCCGCTGAGGCTCGGCGAGCGCCCCGAGTTGGAAGAAGCGGCGCTGGAGTTGGAACGTCGTGCCCGTGGCTGGCTGGAAAGCGACGAGGCGCGCGACAGCGCGACATCCCCAAGGAGGGACAAACTCTGCTGTTGGTAAGGAAATCACCATAAATGGGTGCTGTTTGAAGCATTATAATATTGCTTTACCAACATTGAGTTTATTCCAAAACTAGAGATTGGATGATTTTTGGGAGAAAAGAAGAAAAGATGGAGCATAGCCCAAGATATCCCAACGGAATAAATACGTCACAGGGGTTGAGTTAGAAGGACAAGCTTAGCTTCGAGCAATCATGAGGGAAAGGACTGAAATATATCCGAAGAATCATCGGTCATAGTGCGTAGTGCGTGGTAAAAAAATACCATTATTTACCTATAGATTTACCACCAAAACCACCCCAAATGATCCAAAATGAAGGTAAGCAGACCATATCCGAGAACCTCTCTGGTTCAAAAATTCCATCAATAGAATCATTTGGATTCATTTCATCAATGGGAATTTCAGGAACCGATTGATTGGAGGTACCTACCATATATATCCATATATGGTGGGCCTATATAATTCCAATCTGGTTGGTGGTTTGGAACATTTTTTATTTTTCCATATATTGGGAATGTCATCATCCCAACTGACTTTCATATTTTTCAGATGGGTAGGTCAACCACCAACCAGCCATTGATTTGGAGAAAGCTGCAATTTTCAGAGCCATGTGTTGAGCCAGGTCTTTGAACAGCGACTGGAAGCGTCTCGCCGTCTCGCCTGGGCTCATGTTCAGAGGGGATTGGTATGGACTGTTTCCGACGGATTCGAGATGTAAACCGCAACTCTGATGTTATTATCCCATAGGATCCATGTATGGTATATATGCTAACAGTGGGGGTATATTGATGGTAAATGTTACCATATATAGCATACATGGATCCTATGGGTATATGATTTATTTTATCATAATTATATATTTTATCATTGTTTTATTTGTATCTATTGTTTGCTTAGTTTAGTAGGGAAGCCTCCAAAAAAGGAAAGGTCAATCCCAGATTCCAAAACCGTGGTTGATTAGGCTGGGTTACCTGTTACCCCCACAAAAATATCATTCGATACCAAGATGGTATTCCCCAATTTCAACAGCCCTGGTATTAACCTTCATCCGCAAGTTGACATTACAATGTTGTGCCTGACAAGATACCATTACGGCTTCATAAACCCGCAAGAATTGAGGGACCCTCTTCTTCTTTCAACCAACATGGTGTTATTTGAAACTGGTGTACGCTCCGAAAATTTGAACATGGAACCCATAGGTCAGGAGTCCAGGCCCCAAAAAAAAACAAAATCCATGTGCGATGACTGGAGGGTGTAGCATGCTGTCCAGGCAAATCTGCGCGTCGGCAGAGCAGCGCCAGGAAACCCCAGGAATTGCGCAGTTCATCGAATCATGAAACGGGATATTAGACATGAGTTAGCAAGTCACAAAGTCACTTAAGATGTTTTTTGTTCATCCTTCTGGGTAAATTATAACGACCTTACTGCGACCTCACTATAATCATAGTTAGTAAGGGGAATCATCCCAAAATGGCCTTAATTCAGGTTAGTGAAATATTATAATTTACCCAGATCCTTTTCTCTCCTTTTCTTGTGATTCACTGAATAGTTGTCCCTTGGGATATCGAATCGCTTGTCGCTTGTCAGCCTGGAGTGCATCAGGCTCGACATGGAGATTTCATCAGCGGCTTGGGGGATACGATGTAACCATCACAGATTTCATCAGCCAACATCTGCCAACTCTATATATAATTGTATATACATATATCTATATTTATATACAGTATATATATATATATTTATATCTATCTATGTATATATATAATTTTGTCATTCTATGATATTCTATTTTTTTCATTTTATCATGGATCCTCCCAGCCATAGATTTCTGTGTTTGCACCATGGCCATGCCTCAAGCCACAAGGCCGCGTGGCGCTGGTGGTTACAACGTTGTGAGTGGAGGTGCAAAACCGGCCACAGCCAAAGCGAAATCGACGGGGACGCGCAATGCGTTTGGGGCCTTGGGGTGACAGCGGAAACCGTGTTTTTGTTTTTTCCATTCGAAATGGGATATCAAGATTTAACAACTGAAGATGGTTATAACATGTTATAACATGTTGTAACTATAATGGATTATTAAATGAACAAAAATCCCAACGGATTGTAGTTATTAGTCCCAATACTCGGGGTTTCGATGAATGGAGGTACCCAAAAATGGATGATTTATAATAGAACATCATACTATTAAAACTAAAATGGATGATTTCGGGGTAGCCCTATTTTAGGAAACCTCCAAGTGAATGTTTACCAGTACTAATTGGTCCTTTGAAATGAAACTGGTCTTCAACCATCAAACACTGGATCTTATATAACATAGTTTAACCATTCAAAATGGCGTCACCATTGAAATTGAAAATTGTGCCTTTGAGCAGAGTCTCTCGCAGGATCAGTAGAGAGGTTCAAGAGGCTTAATATATGGCTTAGTACTGAGATAATTTTCAATGGGTCAAAACTATAGGACTCTATAGGTGTGACATATAGGTGTGACACGTGTAGCATAATGAACCTTTTTTTTTTAATGGGGTGGTAACTACGCACGCAAATGGTGGCAACAAGGATAGGGACAACCAGCACTTGTAGCTCCCAGGAATTCCCTGCATCTTTAGCGTATCGCCTTACCCCAGCTTCGCGCTCGGGCCGATTACGGCGATGTACAGCTGCGTTGGATAGCCCAAGGAAGAAAAGGTGCCAGCTGCCTCACGAATATTCAATACCCCCCAGAAACCATAAGGCCATGCGGGATTCGGATTCATACATATTGAGACCATACAAAAGGGGTGTTTAAACCGTGGATGGGATTGAAAAAACGATCACCCAGCCCCTAAAAAAGTCCCCGTGTGCAGGTCGCAGATCGATTTGAAAAAGGGGCGTTCGGGCGGGGGAATGCGCGTTGCGCCTCTTACGAAGGGGGTCACTGGGGTCACTTCAGGGACTGGAATTATCATGGAATTATCATGGATGAATGAGAACCAGGTTTTTTTTCATACTTTTTGGGAAATAGCCTGGGCCGGGTCCAAGATTTACTTTGTTCCAGTGAACCAATGCAGAGATCTGTTTGATGAAGGTAATAACTTTGGTGCGAACCCGGTGGAGGGAGTGAGTTTACTGGTGATCATGAGTGGGTTATAACATATATACCCAGTCTTGGGCCAATTTCTATACACCCTGAAAGGCCATTGCTGGATTTTTGACTCTTAGTTATTTTCAATCATGTTACTGTTTTAATGGATATACATGTGTAATATCTTATGTTTGGTGTATGCTCACATACAATACACAAACATATTTTGAACTTACAGCAAACATGAGAGAACATCAGTAGTGATGCCTCCAGGTTTTGATCATCAACTACAGGTGATCTTCTTTTATTGATGAAGTTGTTGATCACCTGTAATCTACCGTTGCGATTCCGGTGACTTGCTGGTCACCTGAAATCACATCCCCCCTGGACTAGTCACTCGACCTCCAACTTGGCTCAGAAATCGGCTGAAACTGACAGCAGATATCCCATGGAACCATGGCCGTGTCCAAACTTCCCACTGGTTTATCGGAGTCACCAGGATCAAACAATAGGTAAATCATGGTAAATCATGAAAGGTGAGAATTCAATACGATGGTTAAACCATGTTTTAAAAAAATATCGCATTTTCCAAGCGGCGCAATGGCCATGGCAACGAACAGACCAAACCCATTTTTTGCTTCGATCTTTTCGAACTGGCCCACAGGCCCAAAGCTACTTCTACCCATTGATTGTTGAAGTTGGGGTATAACTCCCATGAACTTTCGCCATGAGCGAAGCATGCGAAGCCGCCGACGCTGCCAAAGTGCTTTGGCTAACTCGATGGCCTGAAAGAGGTTTCGCGGATATCAACGACCTGTGTACTTAGCAAATAGCAACTCCTTTTTCAAATGGGGTCTTGCGCATCTATGATGGTGATTTTGTGGTTGAAGTTCACAACCAATGAGGACAATTTAATGTCAAGAATAGCAGTGGAAACCATGGCAGTGAGCTACGAGTACCAGCTGGTAGGCTATGGAACAGGAAGAATTCCTGGAATTTAGAAGTCAAAACTTGGAAAAACTTTCAATTTGAAAAAAACAAGTATGCTTTCCTGCTTTTCCTAGAGTCCAAGTCCTTCATTCCTGTTTACTGCCGTTCCCCACTCGCTGAAAGATTAGTTCATTTAGATGTTGGTTTCAGTTTGAGGAACACCTTCCAGGACCCACAGAACCAACAGGAAATCGATTTCAGAGATGACAGATCTCCGCAATCCACCCATCTTCATTCTTCATTTAAAATTGCAAGGTTTCAAACGGGCAAGTCAAAAGCACTAACTTTGCCATCCTTAGCCACGGAAATTCGGCAGACATCGGGCAAAAAGCTGCCCCAACCACCATTTCCGTGTTTCTTCTAGGATGTGGCGATGGAAACGGTGGACGATGATGAAAAGACAGATGAAGACGAAGTGTTGCACGAGCCCTGATTTGACATGATGTTACATGCCGCGATGGAAATGGTTATCCTCTGGTAAACGTTTACATAACTATGGAAAGATCCACCATTTTTAATGGGTAAATCCACTATTTCAATGGCCATTTGCAATAGCTTTGATAGCTTTGTGCATGTTTACCAGAGGGTACATAACTAGAGCATCTATAACAAGCCATGGGTGGGAATCCCTGAGCCAGTCACCAAGCGCATAGGATTGGGGATTTAAGCGACCAAAAAACGATGGTCAAGCAAGAATTGAGAGACAACCTGACAAGTTGTAACATAATAGATATTTGCCCATCAAAAGTAACAAAAGTTGGGATTTCTTTGAAAACATGGGATAAATATGGATAAATACATACACATAAGGGTTGATTGGTTGATAAGGCCAACAAGAGTGGACTGAACCAGCAGAACATCACCATGAATGTCCATGTTCAGCAGTTAGGACAAAGCACTGAAGCACTTGCTGCCGGCTGGTTGACCCCCAAAGCGCATGAGGAATGTGATGTCTACTTGAATCGCATGTACGATCCTCCCGATTTCGTGGGCGACATGCAACTTGGAGACCCATCGGCCCATCGACTCACTGCTGAGATGACCCATCTGGTTATGACATTCACAGTTTGCCATGGAAAGATCCACCCATTTTTAAGAACGGTAAACCATCTATAAATGGACCATTTTCCATGGCTATGTTAAATGACCAGAGGGTAATATGTATATAATATATATGCGTATATAAATATGTATATATATATATAAAACCAGAGGACCACGGTGATCCGCTTTTCTTCGCAGTCAATTTGCACTTTAAGTGCCAATCATCGACAATCAAGTGCCAATCCTCCCAATCATCAGTGCCAATCATCCCAGTTGAAAGCACTATTTCGATCTATTTCGGATGGGTTTTTCACTGGTTTCGCTTTGGTCATTGGATTGATTGAAGGGACTTTTTTTTACAGGAAAGCATAGAGATTTTCCCATAGATTTTCCCATTCAACAAGAGGGTTTCCTGTAAAATGTTCCTTAAACCAATCCAGGATGATTTGTGAATTTTCTGCGCCCAGGGGCATCCAGGGACCCAGGTACCTGCTGCAGTATCCCCTGCGGCCCAGCTATCGACCCTATGGAGATCAAGGCTACCTGGATCGGGTGGAATTGAAACCCAAGTCCCGAAGGCTGCGCTTCGTGTCACGTGGCCCAAATTGCCAAAACGGGCGTTGGGGAAGGTGTTGGAGCTGGTGATTGGAAGATTGGATGGAAGTCTAAGGTTTATATCCCAAGACATGATGTGAAATTCCGCGACTTGTGTTTTTCTCAAACCTGGTTTTCAAGACTATTTCTAGATATTTAACAGAAACATGATATAATTATATATCTATAGTTCCAATAGAAAATGATAAGTCACCTAATTTCAGGATTGATGGGTTGGTTCTCCGTTTAGGAAGATGTTCCGGAAGATGCTGGGATTTTGCGGAGTTCTGTTGGATTAAGCACACCTTGAGGAAACAAAGGGTTGCGGAAGCCGGGCAGCGAGGTACAAATTGAATCAGAATGAACACTACGCGGAGGAGGATGTCCACGATGAGAAGTACGAGCAGCGGCATACTTTGACTCTGGGCGTTGGTTAAAAGTCGGGAATACGGGGACAAACCTACGTATGTCTATCATCACATCCTCATTGTTGAACGGATTAATTTCTCCCCATTCTTGTTGATCAACCACCTTTTTTGTTGGTCAATCATCATGTCTCCCATTACAGGAATCCTTTCCCTAATATTAAGCACCCCTCATAAACCATAATTGGTCGAGTAGGGGATTGACACATATTTGGGACCATAGAATGGCGGTGTTTAATATTAGGGGGAAGGGACTACATATTAACTATATCAACATTTATTAACCATTATTAACCATATTGAGTTGGTATGAATCCCTATCCATCCGTTTTTTTATCACCATTAATCCATATGGGCTATAGGTCAAAACCTGCAAAAACGAAGGCGTCGCTATCTAACGAAGGCAAACCTTACAACTAAAGTTTGTTGATATATTTTCATTTGAGCAGCGAACGTCAAGAATGGTGTATCATGGAGTTATTGTTTGGTCTTTACCTGTTTTTCCCTTGTTTTCCTTTTGTTTCCTTTCTTGCTTTCATGCCTTTCCTGTGACGGGTTTCTGTTGGTTTCGTTTCCGCCTTCGTTTCTTTCCTACTGCCACTAGCTCGAAATGATGACTGCGTGATACCGTACGTATATTTGTGAAGGTCTGGTCCAAACCCTTGTAAAACGAGGCGACCCTTTGTAACGAAGTAAAAATAGATATTCCATGTTGGGGCAATAGAGTTTTGGAGGTAGCTCATATTAGTCCCTATTAGATAATTATTAGATACTATTAATCCCTATTAGATGCTATCAATCTCTATGAATCCGTATGAATGTCTTAATATTATCATAGAATCATGGGGATTCCCTAGAATTATACCATATTAAGCAGAAGTATCCCATTCTATGCAGTACCATGCGACTGAATCCCATTATATAAATTACCTTCAAAATCCCATATGAATCCCACATGAATCCCCATAAAATCCAATGTATATCACAAAATATTCATCCCTATGGCAATCCCACCATGGCACTCCACATCACTATGAATCCCTATCAAATCCCACCATACCATACCATACCATACCTATTGTGGATGGTTGCGAAATCCTGCACCAGGTGGTAACTATTAGGACCTATTAGGTAACTATGAAACACTGCAAATCATTGTTTTTTTTTTGGATGTATAAACCATCTATCAAGTGCTGCAGGATTTCACAACCACCGAGCCGTCCGGCTGTGATTAGGCTATGATCATAGGGATTCCCTATAGAATTCTCCCAGCATCCCCTCTGGTAAACATACAAAAAGCTATTGAACATGGCCATTTATAGTTGATTTACCCATTAAAAATCGTGATTTTCACATTTTTAGTAGGTAAATCAACTATATACACATGTGCCATTTTCCATAGTAAACGGTTGGTTTACCAGACAGTAATCCCCATCCCACCAGGAGCTCCACAGTGGTGGCCAATCCCGCGTGCAGCTACGCCATCGGCGTAATCCGCCAAGGGCGCTTGACCTTGACGCCCGTGCGGGCGGTGAACCAGCGACTCTGTCGAAGGGCCATGAAAAAAGGCTGGGGGATGGGCATCTGACCATGAAACACCATGAATCTGGAATGTCTTCCATGACAATATACTCCTCATATATCCTGATGATGTGGAATTCCATACATTTATAATTTATATTGATTATATAAATTATAATATATATAATTATATAATATTATATATATATAGGCATCCACTATATATATCTGGGTGAATTATAACGACCTCACGTCGCGACCGAACCCTGGAATGATGGTTAGTACATGTTAGTACTCTAAGGGGAAGTATCTGAATATAGCCTATCTCATGTTAGTGAATTATTTTAATTTACGTAGATGAATCACATTCCACGTACTATTGCATGAGCAAATGTGATATGTTACTATTATTTTTATATATATACATACGTATATATGTTGATGTTTATTTTGAGTATATAGCATCATTATGTTCTTCTTTTCCAACATGATCATGACTCATGTATTAATACAGATATTATACACATGTTCTGTTGCCTCTCAGAATAACCAACTCAGATGGACGAGATCAGGAACGTACCAGATCTCGTTGTGGTATGTGTGATATGTGTGATGTAATATTTGGCAAAAAGGTAGAATTACTGACTGTACATGTCAGTACTTGACATCTATATTCGAGTTCCCTGTAGAGAAAGAAAAGGAGGATCCTACCCCTCGTTCGGTGCCCTCAGATCTTCCAAGAAATGGTTCAAATCCGCTTTCCAGGAAGTGGAATGGCCATAACTGGAGAATATAGCCCATTTTTAGACACATATCATTTGGCAATGTACAATCCTCCAGGTATAAATGGAGGTTTCCATAGGTTTTCCTAAGTCATGGGGGGTAGCCAAATTTAATATCATTTATAGATGGATTTTCCATGAAATAAACCAGCTATTGGGGATCCCCCACTACGGAGCCGCCCCAAACCAGGGCCAATTGGACCAAGGTTGCGTCCTGACTTTGAAGATTTCGAGAAGTTGTGCAAGCAGAAACTTGGCAAAGCTGCAATCCTGAAGGGTCACTGTATATAAATATAATATTATACACATAATAAATAGTTGTATACATGAGTTTTTGATATTTCCCCAAACAGTGTGGCCACACTGAGGGGTTCTTATGGTAACAGTTAAGGCCCGGTGTTCAATCGAGGTGGTATCATCCGTGTCCGGCCAATTCCCTGTAAATTTCCATACATAGTGGCTCTTGTGACATGTCCATGTGCATTTCCACTGCGCAGGCTCGCACAAAACGATGGCCGTGGGCGACACATGCGGCATCCCTGTAAATTTCCACACATGTTCATGTGCATTTCGACTGCGCAGGCTCGCACAAAACGATGTCCCCGGAGGTGTCCGCGGCCATTTTTCCTGTAAATTCCCATGCAAAATAGCTCTTGTGAAAAGTCCATGTGCATTTCAATTGTGCAGGCTCGCACAAAAACGGGTGTCGCGGGATTAGCTTCCGGCGCTTTTCAATTAAATTTCCACACAAAATGGCTCTTGTGAAATGTTCATGTGTATTTCGACTGCGCAGGCCCGCGCAAAACGAGACATCTCATACAGAATATTGCCAAAAGGACCTCCTGGAGGGAGCTTATACAGAGATCTTGCTAAGAGACCTCTTGTGGAGATCTTGTTAAGAGATCTTGCTATAAGAGACCCCTTACAGAGATCTTGCCAAGCGGTCTCTTACATACATCTTGCCAAGAAAGCTTTTATAGAGAGCTTGTACAGAGATCTCATAAAGAGATCTTGCCGAGATATCTCTTACAGATATCTTGTCCAGAGGTCTTGCCAAGAGACCTCTTTAAAGAGATCTGGGCAGAGAGAGCTCTTATAGAGATCTTGTACAGAGATCTTGCCAGGAGGCCTCTTATAGAGATCTTGTACAGAGACCTGGTGAAGAGAGCAGCGATCTTGCTCAGAGATCTTTTCTAGGGAGCTTGAACCAAGACCTTACTTTGAGGTCCCTGACAGAGATCTTGTGTGGAGATTTCTTATAGAGAGATCTCTTCAAGTGTCTTGCCAAGAGACCTCTTATAGAGATCTTGTACAGAGACATTGCATAGAGAGATGTTGCAGAGATCTTGCGAAGAGGTCTCTTACATAGATCTTGCCAAGAGAACTCTTCTAGAGAGATTGCACAGGAGATTTCATAAAGAAATCTTGTACAGAGACATTGCATAGAGATCTGTTGCAGAGATCTTGCCAAGCGGTCTCTTACATAACTCTTGCCTCGAGAGCTTTTATAGAGAGCTTGTACAGAGATCTCATAAAGAGATCTTGCCGAGATATCTCTTATAGATATCTTGTCCAGAGGTCTTGGCAAGAGACCTCTGGCCGGCGAGCTCGTGGTGGCTGGAGCGCACGCATTAAGCAGAACTCTGGCGGCTGCATTCGGTCAGCGCACCAAGCCCCTACCTGGAACGCTGTGCACGCCCGCTTGGCAGAAGCGTATGCTGCGGACACAACCTGACCCATGTCCGCGGCATCGCGACAAGCCAGCCACCGTTTGACCTTCTGCTGCCGCTGCCAGCAGCTGCCGCGGCATCGCGCACTGCCACTCACATTGATGCACCTCTTTGGGAATAAAAACTACGGCTGCATAGCTCCGTTCCGTGACCGCACCTGAAAAACCCACTGGATGCATGTTTCCTCTTCTGTTTCTCCCCCCTTAACTTTGCCCTGCATGTCCTTAAGCACACTGTTTGGGGTCTCTTGCCGGGATAATTTTTGTTACAGTTTATTTTTAATACAGGATGAGTCCAGGATGAGTCATTTTACACCATGATTTTCAGTGACAGTTACGGTTCATGATTGGGAGCCGACACAATGAGAATCAAGATTGGGGGGGTACCATAGTTTGCAGACCCTGGAGACATAGCATGGTTATTCATATAACACCAGCTGGCATTCATGTTTTGTTGGTATGTATAACATGTTGGTATTCATGGCTGGGGTTATGCCCCTGGTTCAACCAGCTGGATTATTGTACGATATTCCACGGGAGTACTGAACATTTGTGTTCCCTTTTCTGTCGCTATGAATGAGAATACATGCCGCTTTAAAAAGGATGCACCCTATCCAAGACTGGCAATGTGCGCACACAGCTGATAGTCATTGTGAAATCCTGCACCAGCTGGTAAACATCCCATTATAATGTATTATAATCCCATGATATATATATATATATTTGTATATATATATATTTTTGTATATATATATATATATTTAGGGTTTCATAGGAATCCCAATAGTCTCAGCTGCTGAGTCCCCATCCACATAGCTTTCTTAAAAGCCGCTCCGCCCAAGGATTGCCTCCACGCCCGGCTTGAGCGACGTTGGCGACGCCAAGGGCGACGAGAAAAAGGGCGACGCCAACTCGGAGAGTGGCGGGGAGGAGCCGTCGGAGATGATCGATTTCAACCCGGTGCCTTGATATCATGGATATTCATCGATATTCTACTAATGTGGGTAAAACAATGCCATAAACCATCCCCCAAATCACCATAAATAGTTGGTATAAACCATTCCATGGGTGGTTTATTATTGTTACTAATGGATACTAATGGTTCATTGATCTTCTACTAATGGTAAATGGGTAAATTCTTTAGTTGTTAATAATGGTTAGTAATGGTTAGTAATGGGTAATAATGGTTCATAATGAGCAATAGTGGTTAGTAATGGGCAATTGGGTAAAACAATGCCATAAACCATCCCCCAGTCATCACAATTTTTATAGGTGGTATAAACCATTTCTAAAATAGGGGTACCCCCAGTCATCATCCATTTTATTTGTGGATGTTCCATGAATTGATATTCTACCAATGGTAAATGGAATGAATGTAAATGAATGTAAACGAATTTACATGATATCATGATAAATTTTCAGACTTAGCGAAACTTAATAGATCTTAATAGCAAATATGTACGTTTACTCATAATTCTACTAGTACAGTAAGTGAATATGAATTTAATTTATATAATTACTTTACTCATCGAAGGAAGTTTGGAAGTCAAACTTCCGACAATATGGAGAGATGAAAAAGCAGTCAGCAGGGAGAAGAGTCAGAAGAGAAAAGATCAGAAGAAAGAAGATGCAGGTGCGCGAAAAGGTAGGAAAGTCGCGAAACACTGTTTTTTCGTGGTTTTGTGGCTCCGGAGGGTTGAAAAGTAGGCTCGCTAAAGCGGCGGGTGCGGAGACATCTGGGGAGATGAGAGATGAAAAGTTGCACGCCGTTGTGGCGCGAAGCACATTTCCAAGTCAAAATGTACAAAACACACCAGCTTCGGACCACTTTTGGAAGTTGAATGAAGTTGAGATGTCGAAAAAGTGCACACCGTTGTGGCGCGAAGCACATTTCCAAGTCAAAATGTACAAAACACACCATTCTCGGACCACTTTTGGAAGTTGAGATGTCGAAAAAGTGCACGCCGTTGTGGCGCGAAGCACATTTCCAAGTCAGAATGTACAAAACACACCATTCTCGGACCACTTTTGGAAGTTGAGATGTCCAAAAAGTGCACGCCGTTGTGGCGCGAAGCACATTTCGAAGTCAAAATGTACAAGACACACCAGGTCCGGACCACTTTTGGAAGTTGAGATGTCGAAAAAGTGCACGCTGTTGTGGCGCGAAGCACATTTCCAAGTCCAAATGTACAAAACACCACATGTTCGCGCCACTTTTGGAGGTTCAGATGTCGAAAAAGTGCACGCCGTTGTGGCGCGAAGCACATTTCAAGTCAAAATGTACAAAGCACACCATTCTCGGACCACTTTGGAAGTTGAGATGTCGAAAAAGTGCACGCTGTTGTGGCGCGAAGCACATTTCGAAGTCAAAATGTTAAAAACACCAGGGGTTCGGACCACTTTTGGAAGTTGAGATGTTGAAAAAGTGCACGCCGTTGTGGCGCGAAGCACATTTCCAAGTCAAAATGCACAAAACACACCATTCTCGGACCACTTTTGGAAGTTGAGATGTCGAAAAAGTGCACGCCGTTGTGGCGCGAAGCACATTTCCAAGTCAGAATGTACAAAACACACCATTCTCGGACCACTTTTGGAAGTTCAGATGTCGTTTCGCGTTGCAGGCGCAAGGGATTGTGGACCTTGTCAAAAGTGAGCAAAACGTGAGGGTTTTGTAGCATTTTCAACTACAACCACCACTACACCACACTACACTCCAATACATTACACTACACTACAACTACAACTACACCTTCACTACATTCTACTACACTACACTCCACTACACTACACTACACTCAATTACACTCAATTACACTCAATTACACTCAATTACACCACACTACACTACACTACACTCCACTACACTACACTACATTACACTACAACTACAACTGCACAACTGCACAACTACACTCCACTACACTCCACTACATTACACTACACTACACTACATTCCACTACACTTCACTACATTACACAACACTACCTTACACTGAATGACACTGCACCACAGATAGACAGGTAGACAGATAGATAGATAGATAGATAGATCGATAGATAGATAGATAGGTAGATAGAAAGATGGATAGATGGATACATAGGTAGATAGATAGATAGATGGATAGATAGATAGATACATAGATAGATAGATCGATAGATAGATAGATAGAAAGATAGGTAGATAGATAGATCGATCGATAGATACATAGGTAGATAGATAGGTAGGTAGGTAGGTAGATAGTCAGAGAAAGAGAGAGAAAGAGGGGAGACATCAATCACCTTTCGATCCATCAGTGGCTTCGCTCTGCCATCCGTGATTCACAACAACCAACCTTTCCTATAGGTTTCCTATTTTTGAAACTTCCGCCACCGCCTTGTGCGGTACTACTGGTAGTACAATAGTAGTATTCAACCTTTGTGCCAACTGCGAGCTCCAGATCTCAGTGGGCACTGTTGGACCTCAACCGCGAGTGCAAGATGACATAGAACGTCACATAGAATGTCAGATAGAGTGTCAGAAAAAATGTCAGATGAATGCGAGATAGAATGTCAGAATATATGTCATGGTGGGGATCACTCAAAGAAAGTATAATTTTGTTCGAGAATATGTGCCCATTATATACCCCACTTTATCCTCAATGTGGTTGATTTTTTCACGCATTTTTCTACTGTTTCTAGTGCCCATTGATATCAATCGTTTTTTTTTGGTTTGCTGAGTTTGCTTCTTTCCCATCTACAATACACTGCTGCGCGCTGAGGTGCGGGTGGAATACCACGCGAAGGGAGATGCTCGATCTTTTGGAAGGGACGTTGTGACAGTTTCAGCACCGGATTTGTTGCGGGTGTCAGCCCGAACATCCATGGGGAGTCAGGGGACTATGGGATTTTGACAGCCCAAACATTACTGCAACGAGAATGGTGAAAATATGATGGGAACAACCAACAAGGATGGCTCTTCAAAGCGAACACATTCCTTCAATAGTTTGAAAATGTCTGGTCATGTTTCGTCTAAACGAATATATGACCGGCTGAAACATTTTCCGTTTGAACATAATTTCGTTTTCCATTGTTATTGCTGGTGGGGTTTTCAAAGATGAGCAATGCGCACGGAATACATACAGATACTGGGAATGATGCAAGTGGTAGATTGTACATAGGATGGTGGTTTGGTGGTGTCAAGATGTTTAGATATGTATTGTTTTTCCATTTTCATATGGTATGATGAACCCCGCGTGACGCAGGCTACAACACTGAAGCCACCAACGTCAGGCAATCATACAACCCACTGCAATTACATCCGGTTATGAGGATTTTTTTTACACACCAGCTCCTAAGCAGTCACGTAATTCCATGGTCCATCAAAGTTGGTGATCCTTCTTCCCCGGGAATCGGGAGTCAGGAAACACTTGCCTCATGTTATAATCATTTACCCTAAGGAAAACTAACATAGATGTGGGAACATCACCATTTTTAATAGGTACTACATCCATAACCATCCATAAATGGGCGTGTTTTCACATCTATGGCCAAGTGATTGGTGGTTACTGGTGCGTGACATAAGCCATGAACCCAGTGAGCTTTGGTGATATAACCCCCCAAAAAAATACAGTAACTAGGTAAACATGTCCAATCTATATCAATCAACATGTCGAATTTATAAATAGTGTTAAATGTTCTAATATGTTGTAACTATCCAGTGGCTCTGAGGGAGTGATTCGGAACGATTCGGGTATCATTCCCTGCTTTCTTGGGGGAGCAGGGTGAAGTCCAAGGAAACAAACAAAAGTCTCGAGGTTTCCTAAGTCATGGGGCTACCCCTAAAACATCCATTTTATTTTTGTTTTTTCCACAATAATCCCTGCAACTTTTGGGGTAACCCCCATGACTATGGAAATCTTAGGAGAAGGAAGTTATCGCTCAGCCCGATGTGGGAGACGTTTGGAAGAGGTCGTAGGGATGTCGGTGTTTGACGACGGCGACGTTTGATTCGGAATCCATTTGCGAAGTGATAACTGAGATACACACAGAATGTCACAGAATTGCAAAAAAATCCTGAATTGATACGGCTATCTATTTATGGGGAGATGCTGGGATGTATACTGTAAAGTAGCTATCTAAAGGTCCATTGATTAGAAGATGTTGGAAACAGTGATGGAAAACCAAGCAGTTGAATTGCTTAGCAGCGAGGCTCAGAGCCTCTGGTTTGGTGAGTTGTCCAATTTGGGGTCCCATATTTCGGAGCGGTTTATCATTCGGGCGAGCACTCTATGGGAAAAAAAATATGGGGTTCCAATATGTTCCAATCCATCAGGGGAAAGCTTTTCAAACAACCAGAATTCATCACATGACATGGGTTCTTCAGACACTGTCGGAACAATCTCCATCGAGTGGTTGGTTGGCTCCAGATTTCCATGAATCTCGTGGTCCATGATTTTCATGGTTCATGATGGTACGTTTTGGGTGGGTACCCTCTGGTAAACTAGCAGTTTGCAATGGAAAGATCCACCATTTTTCATGGGTAAATCCACTATTTCTATGGCCATTTTCAATGGCTATGTTAGTTTACCAGAGGGTATATCGTCTCTGGAATCCACTTGTTGGTTAATGGCCCTGGTTGATAAGGGCCCAAGAGATCTATTGCTTTGTGAGGCTGTTGATTGAAGGCAATTGGATGCAAATTACCAAAATTGGATGTTTGAAACATTTTGAGACTTCGGCAGACTGGCAGAGGAAGAATCCTGGTTTTCAACAAAGTTCCCTCTGTAGCCTATTCCAGGATTTTCTGTTTACCCCAGTTACATTCAGTTTCTAACCGAGGCCGACCACGCATCCAGTTCGATGTCTAGGGATTCTTCTGGAGTCTGAGATTGGAATCAAAGTTAAGCATGGCTGGAAGAATAGTAGTGAGGGTGGTCATGAGATGTTATGAGTGGTTGTTTCCAACTGTACCCTCTGGTAAACTAACAGCTAGCTATGGAAAATCACAATCTTTAATAGATAAATCAACTATTTCGATGGGTCTTTTTCTATAGCTATGTTAGTTTACCAGATGGAAAATCACTATTTTAATAGGTAAAAGAACTATAAATTGGGTCTAAAGCAACTAAAGCTTTTTGTATGTTTACCAGAGGGCAACCGATCCTTGACAGGTTGGATTTCTTCGATCAAACCTCTCCAGAAGCTTCGGATATTTACCTGCAACACATTGTCTTTGCTGCGAATGAAGCATCAGAAGCAGTGACTCGGCCAAAACTTGGATTCTATATATATATATATATAAATAAAGGAATTAATGAACAAATAAATCAATATATAAGATGTATATATATATATATAATAGACGGTCACATGGCCCATGGCTGATATTCCATTGCCATCTTTCTCTGCATGGTACATATGGTGCATGGCAGGTATTTCACATGCATTGGCACAGGGCCATCAACCAAGTTTGGAGACGATCCATTGCGCTTCTAAAATCGTTTCAGGTCATCCATGGATTGTTGGGTTACCCTCTGGTAAACTAACATAGCTATGGAAAATCAATGAACATCACCATTTTTAATGGGTATATAAATCCACTATTTCTATGGCCATGGCTTCAATAGCTTTTTGTATGTTTACCAGAGGGTATATTCCATTCATATCCCATTGAATCACTATAAAATCCCATTAAACCATGATAAATCCCATTGAATACCATGAATTTCTAGCCATTTCATATCCCCTTTTTTCTCAGGTCCCGTCATCCATCCGTTTCCGTCATCTAAGGAGAAGCAGGGGTTGACATCTCAAGATCCCAAGTTGCAAGACTTGGATCTTGATGGCGCCTCAACGCTGTCTGTTTACGAACGCGGTGAACTGGTCATGTTGGTTTAACCGTTTAACCCCCCGAAATCATCAATGGTAAACAGCATCCTACCATAGGTTTATGGCATTGGACCATTCAATGATAAATGATAAATGATAGGTTTATGGATCCCCAAATGATAGGTTTATATAGCTTTATGGCTTTGCGGCTTTACCACAGACATCCTTTTCACATCTTTTCAACAGGAACACATCAGAAAAAACCGGAGAGATGCTGCGCCAACAAGTTCATGTGAGCCTCGCTCGAGTCATCCTACCTATAGTAGCCGGACTGATATCACTCAGATTTTTTTCAGGAACACCATGGAACGCGCAAAAAGATGCCACATAAGTTATTCCAGAATGTTTTAGATGATGTTTCCTACATAATCTCCAGGTTTCGAACTTGTCTCTCTTGGGGGTTGCTGACTAGTGTTCTACCGTCAATTGGAGGACTACGAACAACATCTATGGTCAGTAAACATCACACTCCTCATAAAGTGCAATTCCTCGATCGTGATCGGAACATGGGCAAGTGGCCCGCATGCCTTGCCATGCCTTGCCACGATGATACTGTGTATGGACTGTATGGACAAGCCATCCTGCACCAGTTGGGATGCCTATTGGGATTCCCTTCTAGAAACAATGGGACTATTATTACCCATAGGATCCATGTATGGTATACTGTATAATGCTAACATTGGGGGTATATTGATGGGATCCATGTTACCATATATAGCAGCACCATGGATCCGTCATGGGTAATGCGATGTTTACCATCTACCAACAGGTGCAGGATTTCGCAGCCGTAGAACATGCAGGATGTTGCTCTCTGCCGCTGTGTAACGTGGGGGATCCCTCCAAGTGGCGGACAAAAACCATGTGTGATGGTCAATTCCCTCCGTTGCTGGTTTTTGTTTAACTATATAATTCTGGGTAAATTATAACGACCTCACTGCGACCGAAACCTGGGAATGATGGTTAGGGAAATAATCCCAATATGGCCTTAATTCAGGTTAGTGAAATATTATAATTTACCCTTTTAATTGTTTTTGGCTGGGAGATCACATCCACATTTTGGAGAGTGAAACAATTACGAAACAATCATATACCCGCTGATTATTTAACATAGCCATGGTATAGATGGCCCATAGGAATAGATGGCTTACCAAAAAAAAAGGTGGATCTTTCCATGGCTATGTTAGTCATAACCAGATGGTAACTATATATATCATCCCCATTTTGGTATATATCATCCCCATCATTTCCCCCGCACCGCAAGGTGATCACATCAGCTACGTCCGTGGGCTCTGTGGCCAGGCGGAGACCCGGAACAAGTTGCGGCTGCTGCGACAGAAGGCGCATCAAGCGCAGAACTCGGGGCTGCACCTGGGATTTTTGGTCGGAGGATTGGGAGCTGACTGGGACAAATTGGAGATACAATATATGACACAACTACTGATAGATATCTACTCATATATTAAAAACAATGAATATAGATATATATCTACTAACCATCCAAGACTGAAACTTTTCTGAGACTTTTTGAGTCGTTTTTTTTTTTTTAAACAAGGTACGGCCCTGCCGTCGAGATAGCTAAGTTGATGAACATAAGTCAAATTTCACTAGGGCTTATGGTAGACATATGAAACCAGTAAAATGGGGCACACTGGGTCTGTAAACCAACTTAGAACTCCCTATCTTGGAAGAATATCATAGGAAAATGGAATATAATGGTATAATCAACTTAATACTTAGAACAGCAATGGAGTTGGCATGCTTTTTGCTTGACCTTTTCATATTTGTTCTACAAAGGGTGATGGCTGAACATGGGGGGTTCTTAGCCGGCCTCTGCGGATATTATGGTTATCTGCCAACTAATACTGGGATACTGGGGATATGATGGGAGTTCTTAACCAAGCCTGATATGGGGCTTTAGTCTACGGGATGATATACATTGATAGTGTTGCAAACAGTATGTTGGACTTACCCTCTGGCAATTTAACATAGCCATGGAAAACGGCCCATTTATAGATGTTGTTGAATGATTTACCTTATTAAAAATGGTGATTCTCCATGGCTACGTTAAATAACCAGAAGGTATGTTCACCCCAAACGCTGGATAGTCTCTACTGTTCGTTAAACATTGCCTATTTTGTGAATCCGTTGGTGCGCCATTTTGCACGGCATGAATAGGAAGAATTCGGACATCAATGCTTGAGTTAGCAAGGTCAGGTTGAGTCTAATGTTGAATGATAGTATACTTAGATATACTTAGTGAGACTTGGAATCCATCGGGATTTCACTTTTTTTTTGGGTTGAACTTGAACCTCCGGTTTTCATGACTTTTGAGTATCAAACCCATCCCATTTTTTGGAGACCGGAGACCGGAGACAGCTGAGGTCGTCATATGTACTCAGCAAGATGCCAGCGGAGCGACAGGTGGCGGAGCGACAGTTTTGCATGGATGTGGCAACTGATACCTTTCAAATGGGAAAGCATATGGATAAGGGTCAAAATCGGCTATCTTAATTAAATTGGATTACCACTAAGCACGGACTAAAATCTGCGGTTCCTAAGGTTTTTAATTTTGAGCCATACCCATATATAAAGGAAAATGTAAAGGGAAACCCCATGGTCAACGGGAAAGCCAATGATTTCCTGGAGAATTTCCCTCATGTCATCCCAATGAATACAGGAAAATCAGCAGCGGAGGATTAGTTGGAGGATTTTTGATTGCCAGGTCTTATTGCCGATATTTGTCAATATTATGATACAGTAGCAACAAATTTGATGTACAAAAAGATGACGTGCGGAAGTTGGAACCAGATTTTGGATTAGTGCAATACATCTCAAAATTCATTATGCTTTCTCGAAGCTTCAATCGAAACCGCTACGAGAGTAAATCGAAGTTGCCTGTTGATTCCCTCCAGTTGCCGCTGAGTTTGCACAACTGGCTTGCTGGAAGATCCCTGAATGGCAATTCAGCGGGGGATACAATATACCCATATATACCCCATTTCCGTGCGAAGCCGGATTCGATTTTTTCTGTGGAAACTGGACGGGGGGTCAACGATTTGCTTCCGAGCTTGCGTGTGCATCCCAGTTAATAACTAACTGCATAATAATCAATTTGTTATGTGGTTTTATGGCAAGTTGTATCTCGCATATTCTATAGGGTTGTTAACAGCAGTGGTTATGAACTCTGATATAGTGAGAAATGACAAATCAGGTTTGGCAGTTCTCGGATGCAAAACCAAGTGTTGCTTGGGTCAGGTGGAATCCATTCTTCGCCACTATGGTGTGATCTCCTTCCCGAACTTGCGCAAGAGGTGCGCGCGAAATTTCAAGCGAATGGACTGAGGGAAATCTGATGATATGCTCCCCACCACAAAAAGTGCTTCACCAACACCCTCAAATAAACACGTGTAGATGTATGATAATTAATGTATATGTATACGTAATTATATTAGTATATATATATTTACATAAAAAGAGAGAGAGAGAGAAATAGATATGAGAAAATCATTTTCCCATCAGATGAGTCGTTTTGTTTGGGGGTCCATGTTGAATTTCCAGGGTGCAGACTGACAGACTTGTGAAGTGTTGCGGTCATACTTGTAGGTTGAAACAATGCGAAACAACCATGTTGAACCAATCCTTTGGACATGTTGAACCGCTGCCACGCTAGCAAACAGCTGTTTTAGGCAACAATGCATTCAAAATATTCAAAGACCAGCCCCCATTCCAGATGTGAACATGTTGAAAGCACCCCTGTACCCTTGTCCACGCAACATATTGCCTGGGAGTCTTGTGGATGCCGGGATCTCTGCTCAGAGATGAAAGACGGTAAAAAACAGCGGGGATGTGATATTAGGGACCCCGCGTCGTGATTGTTACGTCATTGGATTGGTTTACGGTAAAATTTCAAGGAATACCATATTTAGATACTTGATGCGAAAACAATGCTTTCCTCTTGATTTTCCCACTAATTGCCCATGAAAGTTGGGAATTATTGGTACCCCCATGTACCCCTCTCACAATTTTGCTAACCACCCCCATTAAATTACAGCTATTGCTTATTTCATTTATGTCCACCTATATATCAGGTGATGTCCCCTAACAAAAAAAAAGTTGGTTCCCATTATATCCCATCATATCACATTTATAACATGATCACAAAAGGCTTAAATTTGATTCCCCAAGGATCCCAATAGTGTTTTTTACTGCCGAACTACCCCTCATCCTGCACCAGTTGGTAGATGGTCGAGACGTGTTTCATAGGAATCCCTGTTTGGCATCCCAACTGGTGCGGGCTGGCTTTTGTATCCACGTTTTCATATATCAAAAAACAATCTATTTTACCCTCTGGTAAACATACAAAAAGCTATTGAAAATTGCAATTTATAGTTGATTTACCCATTGAAAATGGTGATTTTCCATAGTTATGTTAGTTTGCCAGAGGGTAATTAATCTATTTTACCCTTTTTGTTAAGCATTAAATGGCCATAGCTAGTTAATGTTAGTAAAGCAACAGTAAGCTACCCCCAATTTTACCATAAATGGGTGATATCAACCATCAACATATGGATGGTTTATGATTGCTTTGCTAGCATTCATGATGAAGTACCACCATGATAGTTTAATGGACTATCAATATGTATATAGACTAGCAATCATAAACCATCCATATAGATATTTACCATGATGATGATAGTATCACCATGTATATAGACTATCAATATTCATCAATAGTAAACATCCCCAAACTCAGATGATCTGTTGGAAAGAAACCATCGGTTTTTATGTCACCACGGATGGGTTTTTGGGGGCAAATCTTACCCGGAAACCATTGGTTTTCCCCATGGATTTTGTTCCGGGTTTTCCTGTAAAGTCTCCCTTAGACCAATCCAGTGATTATGCTGAAGTATCACCATCTGGCTGGTGGTTTGGAACATGGCTGTTATTTTTCCATATATTGGGAAGTTCAAACTCCCAACTGACAAAGTCCATCATTTTTCAGGGGGGTAGGGCTCAACCACCAACCAGCCATGATATGTTATAAACATTGATACACCATAGGTCCTACAGGTTTTTATGCTGAAATATATGATTTCTCATCCCATCACCGGTGAAATCTAGGCTGCCGGTGGCCAGCTTCCGCAGCATCTCGGAGGATGCCTTGATCGACATGCTGCGGTCCTGTGACTTGGCATAGAAAAAGTGGTTGGTGGTTTGGAACATGGCTGTTATTTTTCCATAATATAATGGGAATAATCCTTCCCAACTGACTTTCATATTTTTCAAGATGGTTAAAATCACCAACCAGTATACCCGAAAAAAAGCGATTTTCAGGTAATGACAACTGACATGAATGGTGGTTCATATCCAGTAACAACGGTTGATAATGGGATGAATATGGAATACCTGGTTTCCATTAAAAATGGAGGGTACTCCAATAGCTGGATGGTTAATCATGGGAAATGCTACTAAAGTGGATGATGACTGGGGGTACCCCCCATGGACACCCCCATTTATGGAAACCCCCATATACCCTCTTGTAATTTGTTCCAGTTTGCTATTGAAGGTTCCAGTGGCCCATAGAAATCGCGAGAGGATTTACCGAACTTGCAGATGGTGGAACTTTCCAGTTCGCAAACTGCTAGTTTACCAGAGGGTAGAACACACCATGGTCATTGGATTGGTTTAAGGGAAAATCTTAACCGGAAACTATGGGGTTTTTACACCATGAAGATCATGGGGCGTTCCTTTTTTTTTTCGCCTAAGCCAATCTAATTAATGAGATGGTGTTCCTGATGTTTTATGATGTGTTTTGAAGAAACTAATCTATAAATTTTCTGGATCTCCAAAAAACTCTTCATGGTTTTCCATGTAACATTGAAAATTGCCAGTGAGCTGGTTGCCTCCCCGCTGTTGCAACAAAATCGTCATGGTCAAGATGTGGGTCCCCTAAATAGTTGCACCTTTCAGTAGCTGGTCGTGGATGATGTGAACATCCCCTGGCTCTGGCTAAATGATCAATGGCTAACTGATTGGTGGTTTGGAAGATCTTGGGAATGTCAAACTCCCAACTGACAAAGTCATATTTTTCAGGGGGATAGGGCTCAACCGCCAACCAGCTAAATGATCAATGGCCCAAGATGATTTGGCCGATTGGCCGAACACTTGGTGCAAAACCATCAGGATTTATGGGGAGAGTATTGGAGATTTTTCAGCAACACACATGGAAGGATGTTTTTGGTAACAACAGCCCGCAGAATGGTGATGTTCTATAAAACTTGCTTAAATATATATATATATATACACATATGTGGGATTTCGCCAAAATGGTGGTCTAAGCCAGAAGAAAATTGGGTGGAACATCAACGCAGTCAGCTGGTCGTTTTTTTTGGGTGTCGGCAATGAGTTTGACGAATAGGGTCCCTTACTTTCAAGGGTAATGTGATCAATACCCCAACAAAATCCAGATGATGTGGTAAATTCATGTACCCTCTGGTTATTTAACATAGCTATGGAAAATGGCCCATTTATAGATGGTTTACCTATTACAAATGGTGGATCTTTCCATGGCGGGGTATATGGCCAACAATTTCGTCAGCACGAAAAAATGGGTTTCTTAAAAGTTTGGATCTCCCCAGTTTGGATAAATAATTTTCTGCATGGTTTGGCAGTGGATGTACTCCACCATCAGCCCAATATACTGTCTACCCGGCCTGGTAAACATACACAGTTTGCTATTGCAAATGGCCATAGAAATAGTGGATTTACCCATTAATAGCATGGTGATTTTCCATAGTTACGTTAGTTTACCAGAGGGTATCTATATCTATATATATATATATAAATACTGTATATATATATATATATATATGGTACCCCCCCCCCTGGTACCTACCTTTCCTTGATTTATACTGTAAATTACGGTATAATTTGCTTATTTTCATATGTTGAATTTGATAGGTTTTTTATATTGAGTTTCTTGAGACATGAGTTCAGACTTGAGTTCAGACTTGACTTCAGACTTGAGTGTCATAGTCTCGATTCCTGCTACCCAAGATCCAAGATTTCCAGAAAGCTTTTTATATTGAGTTTCTTGAGACATGAGTTCAGACTTGAGTTCAGACTTGACTTCAGACTTGAGTGTCATAGTCTCGATTCCTGCTACCCAAGATCCAAGATCCAAGATTCAAGATTCCCAGAAAATTTTTCTTGGATGCAGGCTGGAAATCTTGGATGCACCCAAGATCCAAGATCCAAGATTTCCAGAAAACTTTTCTTGGATGCACTTGCAGAATCTTGGATGCACCCGAGATCTTGGATCTTGGGTTTATCCCAAGATTTCCAAGATTTCCAAGAAAAGTTTTCTGGAAATCTTGGATCTTGGATCTTGGGTGCATCCAAGATTTCCAGCCTGCATCCAAGAAAAATTTTCTGGGAATCTTGGATCTTGGATCTTCGGTGGCAGGCTTTGAGGCTTGAGTTCAGACTTAAGTTCAGACTTGAGATCAGTGTACACATGTGTAGACAGAAACTCTCCGACAAACAATGTCCGTGTGCCTCGGTCTGAGCTTCGCTCTTGGCTTGTTGAGATCTCGTATCCTCGTGTCATCGCATCCGGCCTCATGTCGATCCCCGTTGCCGGAAGTGTGCTTCTGCGCGACAATCAGGCCGTTGTTGTCTTGTCGGTGGCACAGGATGGCGCGGCGGCTCCTGGGGGACCTGGTGGGGGACCTGCAGACAACCTACAAATGCTGCTGAATCAAGTCCTCGCCGGGGACCATGCAGTACATGAAAGTAGACAACCACTTGCGCGAAAGCACCTAGCGGCAATGGTCTGCAACATTCAGAAAGGACTCCGACTGGCCCCTGTCGGATTGCTGGGCAGCTGGAGTCCTGACGCCTCACGAAAGCTCCTACATGCCCTGGCTCTCCCCAAAGTGATCCGTCCCAAAAAGGAGACTGCCACAGCCTCCCAACCTGCGCCTCGGCTGATTGGACTTCAGAACATGTGTTCCATGTCTTGAGTACACTAACACTCGTTATTTTCTCGGGGCCGAAGTCGCCTTACGTACTTTGGTTCTCCGCGCGTGATTATACAGTTACGAAGACATGTTCGGTATGATCATATGCCTTCTGTCATTTCTCGCTCTCTCAGGTCTTGCAGCTGACGAATGGTACTTCATCCTCGTCGACGTCGTCCACGTCTGACTCTTCCTCTGACTCTGACTCCTCGTCGGCATCAGAAGAAGAGCAATGGCAAGGAGTACCGAACCCGTCTTTAGGCGTTGCACCTGAAGTTGATACTGAGTACGAGTACGTGCCCAACCCGGCCCTCAACATTGCCCCCCCCCTCGCCTGTAGGTGGCGTCGTGGACAGTCCAGAGGAGGTTGCAGGATCCAATGGGAGCGCAAGTGTGGCATCTTGGAATGAGGGTGTGCTGGGTGCCGGCAGCGCAGGAGAGCAGGACAACGGGCAGACTCTGGAACGTCCACTGAAAATCCAGAGGTGCAGCTTGTGTGATGACTTTGATGATTTGTTGGGGACGTATCTTGAAGCGGCGGACGGGTTGGAGAAAACACAGCAGAAAGTGCTGGAGTTGCAGGCCATTTTAGCATCGCAGCAGAACCGTACAGGATAGAGGGGTCTGCTTCGAGCCTGCGAGAGCGGCTGAGCCAGAGACATCGGCGGCGGATGAAAAAGATTGCGCATTCGCGAAGACACGGAGCACGATGCAAGACACATTGCCATGTAACCTTTGAAACAGGGAAGGGGAAGGTGGGAGGATAAGTTCGAAGTGTAGCAAACTTAATAAGTTTAGACTTGGTTTCAGACTTGGTTTCAGACTTGATTCCAGACTTGAGTTTATACTTAGTTGACTGTGTCTGCCAGCACTCGTCTGCTTCGTTCCCATTGCTTCTGCATATCCATCTCTTCTGCAACGCTTCTACGCTCATAGTATCGTGCCCCCTCTGTGCGCCTCGCTGGGTCTAGTCTCTCTGTGTCCTCACCATGGCGACTGAGATCATCGATGAAGCGATGCGGGTCTACGGTGGGAAGCAGTGGCGCTTTGAAAGTTTGGCGGCCCCGCGCTGTGAATCCAAAACAAGTGCCAGCATCGAGAACCCCATGAGCATATCTGACTTCCTCTCTTGCTGTCGTCCACTCAATGGTCTCAGAGCAGCTACAATGATGTTAGTGGATGTGCAGCAGGATGTGGAGAATTGTGGTTCTGCCGAAAATGTTGCAGCGGTCTGCCAGGAGCAAAGGATCGAGAGTCTACCAGCTGCATTGCAGTTTGCTCATGCCTTACCAGCTCACTCAAAGGTTGGGTGTATTGCCATGGAGAAAGGCCACGGGAAATTGGATGTAATCAAGCTTGTGACTTTCCAAGACAAGATGGCGATTCGGGACGCCACGAAAATTCCTGCAGGATCTGCCTACGTTCCTTTCTCTCGTCCAGGTCCGTGGGCTGTCAAGAAGGCTTTCCAATCCTTATTGGACCGCCTGCCTGGACATCATGTGCACTGGGGCACAGTGACGAGATGGGAGGCACAAGCGAAGAATAGTGCAAGCTCTTCATCGACATGGTCCCCAGACACTGACACTTTACTCCAAGGCGTGGCCTTTATCAATGACCATGCGCCTGAGACGGATGCCAACAATGAGCAGTATACATGGATTTTACTCAACATCCGAGAAGATGCGGAGAGTCCCATTGCTGGTTGGCCAGAAGGCAAAGTGAGGATCATGGCACAAAACAAGTCCAAGGCTTCCAATGGTGCCACATTGCAGAAGGGCTTCCCCTTGACCACTTTCTCATTGAAACCCTTCTTAGCTGAGAAGTTATTGCCTGTCCTGTACCCACTTTTCGTCTGCTACGGGGTCGTAGCTTTGGGCTGGCCCGGGGTTGGCAAAACTCCTGCCTTGATTGCTGTGATTCTTGCTATGGGCAGGTATCATATCCACAGGTTGCAAGAAGAAGATGCTGTGCCAGGATGGAGAAGAGCCAAGTCACTTGATAACTTTCGGCATCAAGTGGCCAATGTGTACGAGGGCATCTTCCTGGACGACCCCAACCGTGAGAATGTCTCCATGGCCGACCTCAAGTCCTTCTTGACTGTGGAAGAAGAGCAAACTACGTCGGGTCGCTACAATGACGCAAAGCTCACGAGGAATTGCATGAGAGCTTATGCGTCGAATGACTTGGACCGTGAGGATGAGCCATTAGATGACTCACGCATCTTCATCACGGGCGAGGAGTTCATGAAGATGACCAGACGTCTTTTTGCAGGGGACAAGCAGGCTGACGTCCTCGCTTGCTTGAAACGCTCCGTGGTTTTGCTTGTGGGGCAACATGCTGTCTACCTTCGGCTTCCCAATCAGGATCCAGAGGCCCCAGTACATCGAATCCAGGTGGATGAGCTGCACAAAGACCTCCTCTCCGAAAAGGACAAGCCGCTCTATTCCAAGTACAAGCTCGGTATCGTGGAGTATGGCCCTCAGTGGGAACAGGAAACCCAGCAAGAGGTCCGCACAATCTCTCTGGGCATGGAAAAGTTTGCCGCCGGACGACCGGAAGTCTACATCAAAGATGCCAACGAGAAGATCGAAGCCGAGCTGTGGCGCGCCCGCCTTGCACAGTCAGTCCGTCTCTCTGACAGGCCAGAAGGAGAATCGTCTCAGGAAGAAGAAACTGTTCTGCCGCCTCCGCCAGTCATCATTCCAAATCCGGCCTTGCGCTGCCATCGGATTGGGCAGTTCCACTATCCACCTGCCAAGCGTCTGAGAACCAAAAGTCGACCAGAGGAGGCTCCTGCAGATGGTTCATCAGCCGACTTGGAAGCCTTGGCCCAGGCTGCTGAGATGGATGCGGTAGAAGAGTGGCAAGAATCTACTGGTCCAGATGGAGATGACTTCGAGGCGGACACAGAGGCTGCAATCTTCCTCCATGAGTGAGCCGGGAATGCCGTCGTGTGGCATGTACATATAGTACAATATGGGGAGCGACATCTGCTCACAGTAGCGGGCGATAAAAAAAAGCTGTGCGTGTTGCTGTTGGGAAGACATAAGCAAGATAACATAGAACGTGTGTACGTGCTTGTCTTGCAACAATCATGCCATCCCAGCAGTTGGCAGCATTCGACGGGTAATATAAACATATGAAGGAGCTTGTGTCACTTCACTGGTCCAATGTGGTCATCGCATACTTGGTAACCGATCAGCATTGTTATGTTTTCTTCTACCAGAAGCTTTTGGATCTTAGAGAAACAAGCATTCCCATAGTAGAGAGTATGGCGCCGCGCTTCAACCCCATCATTGCGAAGAAGGGCAAGACACGGCAAGTTTTGAAACGGCCTGCTTACCTCAAGCCAAAGAAGAAGGCGAATTGGCAACGAGTTCCTTATGTTCGTGATCCTGAAGCTGTGAAGCACGTGCGGGGGGATCGAGACTCATGGAAAAGGTCATTGCCAGAGCTCTTGACATGCTCGCCCCGTGCGTTAGTGGAGCTGTTGCGAAAAGATGGTTTGCTACCTCGTTTGGAAGGGTCCGTTTGTCCTCGCTGTCAGCATGGAACCCTGGGGAAGTTGGCTCCTCAGAGACAGGGCGGCCCACCGAAACATAGGTGCAATGCCAAAAACTGTCAGGCATATATCAGTCCTCACTATGCCCATCCTTTGTTTGTGGACCATTGGGGCAAGTCACATACTCCACTTTCAACGCAGGCAGCCTTGCTGCTGCTCTTGCTGAACCGTGTGCCACATGCAGCCATCCACCGCCTTATGTATGTGAATCACAAAGCCATTGAAGACATGCAGAAGAGGCTGTATACACTACGTGAAGCTTACGTCCTGGAAAAGGAGAAGGAGATTTGCTTTGGACGAGGACATGAATGGGCAGATGTGGAAGCTGACGAAGCCACGTTTGCCAAAAAGATTGTTCAAGGGCAAGTCCAATGGGAGCAGTGGTGTGGCATAGTGCAGCGAGGCAAGCCGGGTACGCTTGTGCTGCACCGCCTGAAACCTCCGCTGGCAGCACTGCGCGCTCCGGGCCCGGGAGCAGTGCGCAAAGTCGAGTGGAAGCCAATTGCCAAAAAATGGCTGGAGGGAAAAAATGTGATTCTACACACAGATTCTGCGAAGAGTTACCGGGCACAAGTCCCAGGTATGTTACACGACCGTGTCGTACACAAGAAGACACGAGTAAAGGTGGGCAACAAATTTCGATGGGTGGCTCCGAAGTATGTCGAGGTCCAAAAGCATCGTCTTCCTGGCGGCAAAGTCATGCAGGTGAAGTCCGGTACGCAGATCGTCGACCGATGCTGGCGTTTTTTAAAAGAACGCGTGACCTTGAACCAGCAGGCATGCGTCGGGGCTCGCATGCTTTGCATGCAATTGAGATCGGGCCAGTACGAGTACTGGAATCGAGGAAAAGACCTGTGGACATGCACAGGCGCACTTGTACAGTGGTATCTGTGGTAGATTACCGAGTGCGAGCGTGCGATGGCCAAAAAAAGGATGCTTCTTCTCTTCGCTATATCGTGGGAGCTACTGCGGTTGCAGGGGTCTTCGTCGAACCGTAGGCAAGTGCCACTCTTTACCTCAATATAATGTTATGCCTCAACAGCTTCATCCTTTTGAATCCACCCTTCCTAAAGTGTCAAGCACGTGAACCACGTGGTTCGTGCAAAGTACTTGCTGTAGTTTGTCCAAGTGAGAACTTGTAACGCAGCACTTTGTGCAAAGCCTTCATAGCTTCATCCTTTTGAACCCACCCTCCCTCAAGCATGTAACCGTGATTCGTGCAAAGTACTTGCTGTAGTTTGCCCAAGTGAGAACTTGTAACGCAGCACTTTGTGCAAAGCCTTCATAGCTTCATCCTTTTGAGCCCACCCTCCCTCAAGCATGTAACCGTGATTCGTGCAAAGTACTTGCTGTAGTTTGCCCAAGTGAGAACTTGTAACGCAGCACTTTGTGCAAAGCCTTCATAGCTTCATCCTTTTGAACCCACCCTCCATCAAGCACGTGAACCACGTGGTTCGTGCAAAGTACTTGCTGTAGTTTGCCCAAGTGAGAACTTGTAACGCAGCACTTTGTGCAAAGCTTCATAGCTTCATCCTTTTGAACCCACCCTCCCTCAAGCACGTGAACCACGTGGTTCGTGCAAAGTACGTGCTGTAGTTTGCCCGAGTGAGAAATTATAACGCAGCACTTTGTGCAAAGCCTTCATAGCTTCATCCTTTTGAACCCACCCTCCCTCAAGCATGTGACCGTGATTCGTGCAAAGTACTTGCTGTAGTTTGCCCAAGTGAGAACTTGTAACGCAGCACTTTGCGCAAAGCCTTCATAGCTTCATCCTTTTGAACCCACGCTCCCTCAAGCATGTAACCCACATGGTTCTTGCAAATGACTTGCTGCCAGCACAGATGTAGT